AGTTGTACTCTTTTTTTTTTTCTTACACATTAATGCAATAGACATAAAATATATAAACGCAGCCTATTCTGCAATAAGCAGGTTTGTGATAAAGGAGTATCAACAATTTTGAAGTAGATTAATTCAATCATTGATTAACTTGCAGATTGAATAGAATATGAAAATTTCCAACAATATAATTTTTGTATACAATATAACAGAAATTTTGTTGTTGATTATATATATTCTGGATGTTAATTAATGATTAAGATATAATCGAGTATTATGAACTATTATTAATTTTATTATAATCATATGTACAACATATTTGTAACAAATAAATATCGATTTAAATGTGAATAAAAGGCGCAACATATACAACTTTTTCAACACACACACAGACACACACACACAAAAATAAATTTAAAGGGACTAAACTTGAGAGATAGAGAGAGAAACTAAAAATATATTTTTCTTTCCAAAAGAGATTATACTCCCTGACAATGAGATAACCAATTGACTCATTGTTAATGATAGATGCAGAAGTCAAGTAGCTTTTACAATTTATGTAGCTATGAGTAAAGACTCTGATAGTTTTTACATTTGTTTTATTATAAACAATAGCTATTGATTATCGATTAGTACATAGCATTTATATATATCTTATACAAACGTTTTACATAAGATATTAATTTACCACCTTAATATGTACCCACTGTTAATTATTTATAGATCTTCCAATCAGTTCCTGTTCCCTGCGCAACTCTTGCTCGCGTTGTTGTTCTTTATTTAACGCTTCCTTTTGCTTTATCTGTTGTAAACGTAACGCGCGTTTCTATAATGAAATTTTTTTTTAGTACTAGATCATCTGTGTGTACACACGCAGATATTTGATATGCATTTTTAGAGGCATTCGAAGGGACTTTAATTCACCTTTAATTTGTAAGTCCTTTCGTGAATATTAATCATTTCCTTTCTTATCAATGCTAATTTTCCTTGGTAAACTTTAACAGCTGCGAACTGTAATATATGTGTATATATTATATATATATATATATATATGCATTTTACTTAGCTTTTCTATCGTGAAATGGAAATGTTTATATATATTCCAAGAACATTACTATAAGTCATACCATATCATTTAAATCTATATCTTCAAATGTCTCGTGTATCTTTTTATTTTCAAGTTGCATTTGAGCGAGCAAAGCTTCTTGTTTACTTCTACAAAAAAAGATGTAATAAAGTCAAAATCTTTATTATCTGCGTAATGATGATTTATATGCTTACGTAAGTTCAAAAAGTTCTTTCCTAACTTGTTCCAACGGAGGCTGACAAATACTCAAGAGACCTTCGGCCAACTTTCCTGCTGCTTTTGAGAAATATATTGTTTCTTCGCTATCAAAGAATGAATAATGCTATTAAATGATTAAACTGTCATATTAAACTTACTTATATAATATTGTATTGTATTTTCTTTATTGCATTGTGTAACCTATCACATATATATATATATATGTGTGTGTATGTATACTATACAGATAATATATCAACAATGTTATTCTAAATCTTAAATAGAAAATTACATAAATATTGATGTCATATTTTTCTGACTAATTTTTATCTATATTTACAAATCACTTTATGTTTTTCTCTTGTTATAAACTAGAATAAATTGAAAATTATATTTTTGCATTGTAATATATATTAACCACTTGTTTTCTATTTAAACCAAATTTGAACATCCGCACGCGCATCACACACACACACACTATATATATATATATATCACGTGTAAAGACATCCCATGCGTATGTTAAAATGTTTAAACTTTCTAAACGACTCGATGCGTGTGTATGTGTGTATAAACTAGTTATAAAGAGGTTACCTCACTTCCGTCTCGGTTTTCAATTGAATTTCTGCCGTTTCTGTTTCTCCCATGTCACTCATCATTTTCGTCGTCGCTTATTTTCACTTCATTCGTGATTATACGCCTCTAGCTTGATTGTGCGCATCAGGTCTCGAAGAAAAGAATGTAAAATCTAACATATGTGTGACAGAGCGTGACGTACGCATTAGTCATAGTAATTGTGTGTGTTCAGTGTACAGATGTGGTTATCTATGGTTCAGTGCATTCTAACAGATTCTGATATATGTATGTATGTAGACTGCCAGTGCCAGTACCTGTCATGACAAGTATCATGGACATAATAAAATACATCGATGAAGCGTTAGCTGTCGATATTGACAATGGAGGGTTTACAGATCAACTTTACCCTATGGATAGGATGTCCGAATCTCTTAGCACTTTTTTCCTTCCAGTATGTTATGTAGTTTATAATTACTAGTTTATAATTATTTGATTAATTAATCATATATACAGACTTCTATATATTATAAATAACTACATATTTCATTGCGATCTTTTCAAGCGAGAAATATTTCTTTGACAATGCTTTCGTATACATATATTTCGTTTTGAATGTCGCTGATTTTAATAGAGTGCGTTCAGGAGACACAATCGTTGAATAGCAATCGAACGTGATTGGTTCTTCTAGATTCTACTTCTAGAACCAACAAATAAACGTCGAGTATTGATAAGACGATGCTCAATGGTTGTGTCTCTTGAACGCGCCCATTATAAGAATCGAATAATGGAAGTAAAGAAAAGTCATGATACATCAACCGTCTATCAATAAAATTAAAAACTATACAGGTAATTAAAAAGAGATGGAATATTACACCCATGAATATATATCATAATACGTAAAATATTTCGTAGCAGCAACGAAAATATTAGACTGTGTTCGGCCTTTGCCTTGCGACGACGACGGCGACGGCAACGCTGTTATTTTTACATACACGCGGACGCGTCGTGTGTTATTCGCGCTAATCGCGCGGCGAGATTCAAGCGAGTAAGTAGTAGTCTGTATACATATATCGTGTATCTTTTAGAAAGCGCAATCTTGTTACTTAAAATTATTAAAATTAACCTGCACAATTGTTAATAATTTCCGCGACTCGTAAGCGACGGCTAATCCATCGCAAGTATCAAAGCAAATATAAAGCAAAAATATTTTGTTCCTATTTCAAATCAAACTGAAGCGTGGTAAAACCTAAATAAAATATATACGAATCGCAATACATTAAATAAGTAAGTATATATATTAATAATAACGGCTATATATATTCGGCGGGAGATTTATCCTCTAATATTAATAATAGATGATATACATTCCACGTTTGAAATATTTATGTTATGTATTATATATATACATGAAAAAGGGAAATAAAGAGAAAATATCATTGAACATGTATATATTTTCTTTTGGCTATATAAAAGATACACATCGAGATAATATTATAAACTATAACAATATAAATAATAATTTTTTATGCGATATCAAATATTTAATTTTTATTCAAATTACCGTAAGTTATCTAAATTTTATAAATCCATGTGCGATTGATTATTTCTAATAATATAGATTGAAAGATTTCACACAAACAACATTTGTATCTAATCAAAAGTATGAAATTTTTTGAATTCGCGTTGACGCAAACACTGCAAAATTTGTACTCTGCGTTTTATTATTATAATAGCAATAAAATTCTCATCGTATGTAAGTCATTTTCAAATCCTTTAAAAAGCTATTAAAATATTTTATATTTATATTCGCATTATGATATTTCAGTTACGCAAGATGAACACAGAGTTGCGCGTTATAAAATAGAACATAAAAAAGAAATTATTTTTAAAATATATATTTTATTTAGTTTTTATTTTAAAGATGTGCAATATTCCTCTGATTACGCTTCAAAAAATGTTTAAACACTAATATAAAAAGTGATAATATAAAATCTAGTAAAAATCAGAGAAATTACTCTCATGTCAATTAAGCGTTAATTTCATTTGCCAAATTTCGAAGACATAATATATATAATTTAAATCATCTGATATAAAAAGTACCTTTTTAGTAATATAAATTGCATAATTATTTACCATTAGTATTTTTCTTGATTGTATATAAAACCTCTCATATTTCAGCGGTTAAAAAGACGAATGTATGGATGTCACATATATACTGATACTTTCGAAGTTTTGTCATCTATAAGTTTCTAAAAAATTATATATGAAACCATGTAAATATTATACTTTGCATTTGAAACACAATAACTAAAAGCTATTAACAATAAACGTTCCATTGTTTAGGACAAAAATTTTATTATAAAAAGAGCGGTAAAATTTTTTAGTAAGAAATAATGATCTTCCGTTCGTGTATGCGTGTTGAGCTTTTTCGTATCTGTTTTCTAAACATATTAAAGTTCTTAAAATTAATCATATATAAAGATAAGTTAATAGAGTTACCTCGAAAAAAATAGATAAATCGTGCATCGTAATTTTCTCTAGATAATCTACTTTGGCATTGGTTCGATCGAAGTTATATTGTTGATTCAAAATCTCAGCCCAGAAAACACTAGATAGATCATTCAACGTTTTCGGTTTTTTATCGTGATATGATCTAGCCAATAAAGCTTTGTTCTCCTGGAAGCTCTTTTCAGACATATTAATTATGTAATTCTGAAATATAATTTCATAATGCTATAAATGATATTTTCGCAAGAACATGTATAATTTGTTTTGTTCTTGTTAGTATTCTATATACACTATTATAAAAAAATATATCGTTAATTTTTTATATCGTTTAATTTTTTAGATTGTATTTCTACATTTTAAATAATATTGACTGTGCGATACTATGCTATATTATATATTTGATAAATGCCTGATTCGATCAAATTGTTTTAATATCGATTGTGTAAATATAAATACATTTTATTTAGGAGAGCAATGATTATATTTTACAAATAATTCTATTGATAATAATTCACATAGTTATGTCTACTAGTTTATGTTGCAACATTAGACATTGTCCAAACTTAAAAATAATAGGATAGTATTAATTTTGAGATCATGTCAAAATTTTATCAAGAACAACATCTCGTGTGAAAGAAATCCAATTATACACATTTTCTATTTATTGTTAGCTTCTCAGAATAAACATTTTGTATTATAAATATTAGATCGTCACACAATGCTATATAATATAAAGTTAATGTTAATATTTACCAGCATAGAATGCGCGAATGCATTAATTATGATCCAAGTATTTCCATCTATTTGCGATTTTGAACTTTGAACTAGAATTTTCAAGCCTTGTATTCTATTTGCTCTGTGTATTCCAGTACATGCTATATAGCCCAACTTTTTCTCAGTGTTTAAAGTATCATAACAAGGTTTATTAATTATTTGTTGTACGAGATCTAAGAGCACATCCGACTGTATGGATCGCTCATTAATTTTGTAAAAGAGCTGTATACACGAGCTCTTACGAAATTCATTTGTTCTATGACATACAAAATGATAACCTAAAATGAATATTATAACGCATAAATTGGATTTGCATCAAATAGACAATATTGATTTATTAATAGTCCGCACATTTCATTTCTATGGATAAAAATCTTATTATATATTGTACAAACAAAATTTTAATAACGTGTATTTTGTATAGGGGGAGGGAAAAAGAAAAGAAAAAAAAGAGAGTAAAAAGGATTAATAAATTAAATTAAACAATATCAAAATAAATATTGATATATGTTCAAAAGTAGAAATTTTAAAAAGTTTAAAGAGACAAATTATACAGGGTGTCCGGTAAAGATTGTGCCAACGCTCGTGAGCGGGTAGAGCGCAGTAATCTGAATAGAAAAGTCCTGTAACATTTTTTTATATAACGCGTAATAAAGGAATTATTATTGGGTAAAGTCTGGCCAATCAGCGCCAACCTTTAGCCGGGCGCACGTCAGTGAGCCCCGCGCTGTGAAGTGTGCGCCGCCGCATACTATCAGGCGGGCGGCTCACCGACGTGCGTCCGGCTAAAAATCGGCGCTAATTGACCAGATTTTACTCAATAATAACTCCTTTATTAAGCGTTATATAAAAAAAATGTTACAGGACTTTTCTGTTCAGTTTACTGTGCTCTAGCCACTCACGAGCGTTGGCACAATCTTTACCGGACACCCTGTATATATAAAACTTTTATGTGCACGCGCGCGCGCGCCTGTGTGTGTGTGTGTGTGTGTGTGTGTGTATAATATAGTTTAAACCAATACTTTATCATACACTGTAAGCATTGATTTTTAAATTGTCATAATTAAAGTTTGGAACATTTCGATTTATTTATTCTGTTTAATATTTCTTCCTATATTTACTGTAAAATTGTAAAAATTCTATGAAACTACAGTACTTGTTAGGAAAAAAATCCATGTATAAAAATCAAATATAAATATATATATATAATTATATATATGTACATAAAATATGTTCACATGTTTTCTTCCTCTTGCATAATCTCTGTCTGTATGTTATAATAATGTATGTATATTGCTCATATATAAACTTCTATATAATTATGTATGGGCAATTTTTTCTCACTGTTTCAAATTTCATTTTTTCTAAAAAAAAGTACGAAAATTACTCTTCTAATTATTTTATTAATTATCCTTCTTATTATTTTTCTTGTACATGTATACGGACAGAGATTATACAAACAAAGAAAATATATAGATATAGATATATAGATATATAGATAATATATATGGACATATTTTATATCTAATTATATATGTATATTTAATTTTTTTATATATAGACACCTTATTTTTCCGGGTTTCTATAGTAATGCTTAATATATTAGTAATGAAACATTGAGCCAAAAAAAAATTAAAAATTTATCAGGAATTGACGTTAATTATTTAATTACAATTATAAATTAATTGTTTATTTGCTGTTGCTTACCATCGTTGACATCATGATGCATTTCTAGATGTGTTAGCGTCAATGGAATGGCATGTGGCAACTTGTTCTCAATTAGATGAACTATATCTAAGGCTTCTGCCTTAGTCATGTTACCATGTATTAAGCACTCCACATATACCGAATCGAATATGTTTGATATGAACTGTTGGACTTTTTCAAAAGTAATATCTGTGTAACAGTGTTGTAAAAATTTTTAGTCATGTATATATGCATATATGTATATACACATTTATCATCCCCCTCCCCTCCAATAGTTTATTATTCAAATTTAATAGTCTAGATATTTAATTATTTATATATAAACAAAATAATCACATGTGTAAAAAGACTCTTTTTTTATCGCGTGCGCAAAAGGCAGACATATTTTTTTTCATATCATAAATAATATGTTAACATATCATCCATTATTGCATACTTACGTGCACTTGCTTCCAATATTTGATCTTTTGGTAACAAATGGCTGTTTAGATGTATTGAAAGATAATGCTGTACTTGTCGATATGGCTCATCATTTTTGAACTGCTCAAGTTGCATTTTACAAAACTGTTCATGCTGCAAACCATTCTAAATAAGTAACATTGCAATTCAACTTAATTCTACGAAAAACTTTGTATCTCATTGTATGTACGTACATTTTGCTTATCAACTTCGAAATTCTTTAGACTTAATTTAAAGTTTATCATTCGATCGACAATTTTTTCTAATAGCACATATTGCTTGTCGTCAAAACCATTTATTTTAAGCTAAAGAAACAATTAATATCTCTTAACACATCTCTTAAACATATATATATGCACAATTAATCGTAAATAATTAATTTTAAATAAATAATTCTCAATTTATGCAATATTGTGTTGAAAAGATTATATTATATGTATGTCAGATAAATATTATCACACACATGCAAAGACAAAATTGATCAAACTTAGAAATAACAAATAAACGCGGAAATGTTTTGTTCACAAATATAAATTCATTTTTTATTAAAATATAATAAATCCGCATATCGAGTACAATACACATTGCATTAAAATAGCAGAGATATTTCGCGAGTGAACAGAATTTATAGACCACTCTATATTTATTCAACAGTTTTACGCATTCATGTGTGCACTTGATTGATCATGGCATACATGTGTGTTAATAATCAACTCTAACTAAAAACTTGTTTGACCAATTTTGTGTGTATCTGATATATCTTAAAATATCATTGTTGTTGTAAATTGTTATTATTGTTGTCTCTATTATTATTTCACTCACTACTATTCCGTAGACAGTAGCGCAAAGCTCCCATCGCAAATCGACTAAAGCAGCAGGGTATAAATATTCTCTGAGAGAATTGTTAATAAGCCGAACAAATAAAAGAGTAAAATTGGCATTAACAAGGTCCGCATAGGCGAGTGGACTAGAAATACAATTTTGACGGTAAACATTCACCATGTTACAAAAATAAAATTTATTCACAAATTTGTATTGTTGTCTGCATACCAGATGAAATGAAAAATCATGATAGTCCTCGGTTCGTTGAACATATCATCCTTCTTATGCCAAACTCTTACTAATTGTGTATCCCATATAACTGTAGGAAATTTTTCTGCCTGCAAAAATTCCATATATTATGCGCAAATATGGGATGTGGTTAAAGTCGTGATACAATCATAAACAAAGAAACTATCTTTCTGCAAAAACAAGTTGAAGAGAATGTAAAATAAATATCTTTTGTGTATACCTGACTTTATTTCTAGAAAATGGATTTTGAAAAAAAAACAAAAAACGGATAATATAGATAAAATATCTACCATCTTTGATAAATTTGAATAATTCTATATATAAAAAAAAAAAAAAAAAAAACCGTATAATCTAGATAAAATATCTACCATCTTTGATAAATTTGAATAATTCTATATATAAAAAAAAAAAAAAAAAAAACCGTATAATCTAGATAAAATATCTACCATCTTTGATAAATTTGAATAATTCTATATATAAAAAAAAAAAAAAAAAAAACCGTATAATCTAGATAAAATATCTACCATCTTTGATAAATTTGAATAATTCTATATATAAAAAAAAAAAAAAAAAAAACCGTATAATCTAGATAAAATATCTACCATCTTTGATAAATTTGAATAATTCTATATATAAAAAAAAAAAAAAAAAAAACCGTATAATCTAGATAAAATATCTACCATCTTTGATAAATTTGAATAATTCTATATATAAAAAAAAAAAAAAAAAAAACCGTATAATCTAGATAAAATATCTACCATCTTTGATAAATTTGAATAATTCTATATATAAAAAAAAAAAAAAAAAAAACCGTATAATCTAGATAAAATATCTACCATCTTTGATAAATTTGAATAATTCTATATATAAAAAAAAAAAAAAAAAAAAAAAAAAAAAAAAAAAAAAAAATTATGTGTGACATAGTACAATTTAAATAACAGCTATATAAGTACGATTAAATATAATGTTCCTTTAATAGAAATAATTAAAAGTAATTTAAACTGTTAAAATATACGCACACATATTTATTCAGCAAGTTATTGATTTGACCTTATTTAGAATTAATAAACAGAAGCAAATATATAATATTATTTTTTGAGTTTATTGTTTTTCCAATTTTCGAAATAGATTTTCTCGAAAACAGGCTCATATGAAAAAAAAGAAAATTTATATTATATTTTGTACTTATTTTTGCCCAAAGAATTACTTTTGAAGTTTCTTTCGAATCACAATTTTGACAATATATCCTATATAAATTAACCCATAAGCACTAGCGCAAATCATATTGTACCCAACTATACATTATATTGAATATTAAGAATAATATATATACAGAAACATTGCATTTTAATTGATTTTTTAATGCTTTTATATATTACGACATATGTCCATAACAATATTGCGATAACCACGTATTTTGCGTTAATTTCATGAAAGTTTTGTATTATACCAGTGCTTAATGATTAATATTACGGAAATTTGGCATCTATAATTACATTATCTTCACATGGTTTTATATTAGTCATTGTCGGTATAAATTCGTTGCAGGCAGGTAAATTCAAATTCGCACATGCGTTGTTTGTCCAACTGGCACATGTTTTCATCGGTACCATCTCTTTCCTATATGCAAAGTGATACCGAGGTTCATACTCATCTGCAAAATCTTGATACTTTTTCGCAATTATATAAATTCTCATACGTGGCGGCGATAAGAAATCGTTCATTACGCTTTCAATAAACCGCTCGTATTTGATAGGAATGTGTTCTAGGCACAGAATATTCTTCATAGTCTGTTTAGACTGCAACATTCGGGAAATCATTTTGACATATTTCAGAGACGGTTCCTTCTCTTTAAAACGAAATTTCAATTCCATGATTTCTTTATATTCCTGCAAATGAAATATCCTATACGTGTGTTTGTATATATTATACGTGCATTATATATAATGTTAAAAATATTGTTCGGATTAGTACAAGCGACAATGTTTATGAAAAAAAGAACGAGTAAAAGATGGGACAAGTTTCTTCTTGATCAGTTATTAATAGTCTTTCAGTAAAATAATTTCGAATTTTGATTGTTCGCATCTGTTCGATCACGTATTAATATTCGTTTGCATCTATTGACGAGTATAAAGACACACACGTCCACTTTTATCATGTAGTACAATTTTAAAATTGCTTTACATTTTACATGATCCATGTGGCAGCAACATATATTGTTCTTTTTAATGCACAACGCAGCATGTATAGCGAGTACACTTGCGGTTGCGATGATTATTATAAAGAACCATTTATCCTAATTATGTCCTTATATTCGTATATCCTAAGCATGAAACGAATGCATATACTTACTTTGATTGCTTTTTTAAAACCTAAAAGTTTTTCTCATTAAAAACAACAAAAATACGCAAACGATCAAAAAATGTGCATCTACATATTCTTTATTTTACTCGTTTACTCCTTTATTCACGAGAAATCATATCATCAGCTATATTAATATATCATAATTTTATAATAGATTTTCAGTATATAAAATTATATTTCTTTACTTACATTGTATATTCTCCTAAATTCGCCGCCGCCTTCCTTCAACATTTTGACATATTGAAAAAACAATGTCATGATATCATCGATATGCTCAAGACCTTCATCAGTTAGCTCGACAGCAACGATAAAAAAGCTGTAGTAGTTGCTAGGGCAAAGGCTTCCAGCCTCGATGGTATTACCCCAATCCTTGGCCTTTAAAACTGACATTAATGATCCTTTGCCGTTATATTCGAACAAATAGGTGAGAAAACGCTCAGGCTACATTAGGAAAAGTTAGTAATAAGATAAAATGTATATAAATCTCGAACAAAATTATTGTTGTATGAAATTATATATGTGACATTAATTAATTAAATGACATTAAATTAAATATAATATTTAATTTTGTGTGTGTGTGTGTGTGTGTGATAATTGTGTAAAAAATGTCGAAGCTAAAGTTTTCTTACCGCACTTTGATGATAATTCAATAAATTATCTACAGGAAATATGATATATAATCTCTTATAATCTGTGTTGCAATGAGCACCCCATATTTTGTACACAGACGGACATTTAGGTGTAGGCGAAAATTGACGAATTTGCATTTGAAATGAATTAAATACATTCTTGAGTTTTATTTGAGAGAAGAGATTTACTACCAATTTTTCAAGTTCATCTAAGGTTTCTAAATAAAAAATTTGTTCGTTAACATTAACAAAATATATTACAACAATATTATATTAAATACATACATAAAATGATATTACACATAATCAGAATAAATTAAAATAGTACATATTTTGTCTGAAGAGGAGATTTTTTACAATTACCGTGCTTTTAACTTATAAGCGGTTAAAAGCAAAAGACTGACAGAGACTTGAGTTTTAAAATAATGCAAATAAATAGTGACTATAACGTATTTGATGTATTTTAACAAATTTGTAACTTGAACATTATTTGAAAAGTCTTTTGTTTAAAAAAATTGAAGATTTGTGGCAAATAATAATCTTTGACGTTTATGCAAAAAAATCGGTTCTAAATTGGCAGTGTTAGGTAAAATACACCAGCAAATAACAATTTTGCATATATATTGGCAACTATACTCGATAATAATTGTTAAATGTAATTGTAAAATATTTATTTGTTTTTCGATAATTAAATGTTTATCGCGAGAATTAATGAAATTTATATTAGATAAATTGTTACACTGGCTAATTGCTTTTATATTGGTGTACATATATAAATAATCTCATATATTTCGAATTTTCCATATATATGGAAAATATGTAAATTATTAGATTATACACACATATATGTGTATATATATAATTACTATCACTATATTATAATAATATTGTTATCACTATATAACTTTCTGACAATTATTATCATTATTACTATTGATATCATTATTAGAGAATAATTTATTTTAAAGAAATTAGAAGCTGGAAAAAAAGATTAAAAATTGATATAAAGAATAACTAACACACACAAAATATACACACATATTTGCATATGTAACAACAATAAACATAAATTGAAACGGAAAAATATCTTACAAATAATTTAAAGAATCTCCTTTAATAAATTATTAATTATTAATTATAGATGATATTCTCTTTTTCTCATTCTTCCTTTTTCTTTCGAAAATAAAAAATATATAATAAAATGATATTCAGTTATAATAAAATCCCATTAATAAATATAATTAATAAATACAAAGTAAAATAATACGAAATAAATACGTAAAATAAAAACGAAATAAAAAATTATTGCAAAAAGTTTTGAGACTCTTTTGTATCCGAAAATAGCTTTATTCGAAACGTTTTGCAATTGATTCAGAAATCCATAGATGAAAAGTTATAGAAAAGTTATAAGTAATACACATACACCTTCTATATTTATTAATTATAAATATAAATTATTATATCATACCTTTGCTAAGAACGCACACTGACATAATATGAGAGGAATAATGAGAGTTATAGAAACGCTGTAACTCCTTTTCGGCATTGCTCAATAGTGTTTCGATCTCTAGTGATGTCGTTGCATTAGAAAAAGTGGTGCCGAATTTCGAAATCGGATGATAGCGATCTATGGTCCATTTAAACAATTGAGTCAATCCCCATTTATCATATTTATCCGTTCCGCTATTCATTTCGTAATCAATATTCAAATACTTTAATTCTGGACGGATCATATCTTTAGTGAAGACGACCGAATTTATGAAAATCTCAGCAAACAATGTTAAAGCATTTTTAAACTCAGATACGGCTATATCAAAGTGATAATTGGTATGATTTTCTGTCGTTCTAGCGTTGACTACGCCGTTATTCTGCGATACATGTGCTTTAAACTTTTTCTGTGGGGTTTTTTCCTCCGACAAATATAACACATGTTGTAACAAGTGCGCCAATCCTGGTAAATGATCCGGATCAGACATGGAACCTGCAGTAACATACATTGTTATTATTTAAATAACTATATGTGACTAATAATTTAACAAATGTTGATTATGAAACAATGTATTGATCAATTTAATATAACATTAACAAATATTATAGAAAATTAACTATATATAATAAATATTATTTAAGTAGCCCATGCGCGTGTACTTACAAGAGAAAATAGAGAGAGAGAGAGAGAGAGAGAGAGAGAGAGAGAGAGAGAATGTAAAGTGGCAAATACATTATTTGCAAAATGTAAAAAGTTTTCCAATTAAACACTTTTTGTCTGCTATAATGTCCTTAATATCTTCGTCTATAATGTAATCATTTCCGTCATACTATGCTCTCTCTAAATAATTATTTATAAAGAAATAATTTTTTATGTATACTCTAATTTTGCAAATAATTGCTATAGTCACTTTGTGTAAATTACATGTATAGAGTATTTTGGTATAAATTTTATATATAATAATCTCAAAAAAATTTATGTCAAAATGTTTATAGAATGTGTAATTAAAAAGGTATCCAATATCTTTGAGACACCTTGTATACTAGCCCTTGCTGGTAGCATATTTTATCTTCTTTCGAAATGAAGCAAGGACATACCTTTCTCAAGTTGTGTGTCAGAGAGAAAATATCTTTTATCTCTACGAATAAAACATATCAAAAGAATATACAAAACAGAGGTTTGATCAAAAAATGAATAATTTAATTGTTGCTTTTCCTTTAACTGTATAAATCAATTCTTCTCATCATCCTCTTTCTTTCGTTCTCTCTCTTTCTCTTTATCCCTTATTCTCTCCTTATTAATTTGTATATAAAAATATTGGAGCACAAATTGATCAAAAAAATTTAATATACTTTATCATATGTATGTGTATAATACACGCGCATGTTACATTTATGGAATAGATATTTTATTACAAATAAAGTAATAATAAACAATCATTTCTAATATTTAAAAAATAAAACACTTGTTCGATATAATACTGGTAAATATATTGCTATCTTTAAGAATTATTTTTGTTGTTATTTTACGATTCAATGACAAAAAAAATATATGTTTATCAAAATCTTGTTTTTGATGACGTTATCTTTTATTTTTATACGTAGAATAATACGCAGGATGAAGAAAATTGACTTACACAATACAAAAGAATAGAATATAATGAAAATTACCGATATTAACGTCCAACGCAGCGGCGGCCTTGTCAATTGTCGGATCGCTTATTAAAAGCACCTTCATGTAATTATTCAGTATTAATCCCCTGTATGATCTGTCGTCACTTTCCGACTTTATTATGTCATCGAATCGATGTTTCATAAATCTAGCCTCCATGATCGTTATGTTATACTGCGAACTTGAATTTGGAAATCTTACTTTAAAAGAGAGCCGTAAAAAGAACACAAAGGCTCTAAGGTCAAGGTCTTGTCAACCTATCATATTTATTGACATATATACGATTGTGAGTGACAAACATGTTCGTACTTAGACGTCAAATATAAATAGCTCGCAAATTATAAAAATCTATTTTAATCCGATAATTTATTCCTAGAATTGTCTTGTACAAACATGAACGAAAAAATGTAATGTAATTAAAGTTTTATTAATTTAAATTATATATATATATATATATATAATATATAACAATATGTAAGTATATTAAATGCACGTAAAAGAAACAGGGAAATATTCTTTTATATTTCGCCATATTGCACGATATAATTAATAATTTGGCAAATCCAAAATAATAAAAGAGAAAGCTGTGTAGAGACATTAATGTATATATACATAGATTAAAATTTTATAAGATAATAATTCAAAAATCTAGAGAGTTATCTATCTGAGCACTGTTGTATTAATTACCATATATATTATTGTTTTTAAATTTTTATTAAATATCCTAATTTCTTTCGTAAGCCGTTTTTTTCGCTGTTAAATTATGAAAAGCGCACGCTGGTTATTTTCTTGCTTTATCCTCGCCACAAATTCTATTCCTTCGTAAAAATGACTCCACACAATCCCGAAATATAATCGACAGAGGGAGTCTTTGTACTATTCGTTCTATCCTTAACCATTTCCCGTCTTGTTCTATTCTTCGCTGCTCTCCTATTATTTCGCATTTGCCGCGTGACCGTTTATATCTGACAAAAATATCGTTGTATATACGCATAATTATTTTAAATACATGATAGCAATGTGTACACAAAATTACTTCCATTCCACGTGTGCGTCATTATGTGACAAATGTGAGATTAATCTGTGGAAATAAATGGAAAAGCAGAGTGAAGAGCAGCACTAGAGAGAAAGTATGGTTGTGAGGGTAGAGTAAATAATATGGAGAGATTCTGTACACAATTATCTTCATTCCAAATTTGTGGGTTAAAATTGGAAATGTTTACTGTTATATTACTTTACAATTATACTACTTATAGATACTAGATCTTAAAATGCCCGAAAAACAAATCAATTAAATATTTCGATAACATATAATCTCTGTGTATGCTCCTTTTTGCAACTCTCCATTTGTTTCGTGGACAAGTATTTGAGATATTTGTTCAAGTAAAAACAAGATGTAATAGGCGACATTGTTTTGAATATTTTCCCTTCTCATCAAACGTATTAATAATCCGGAAGGGATCTAGTATAGACGTATATTTGTACAAACAATAAAAATGATTCCCCGCTCTCTTTAACAGATTTATATACTTTACATCACATTTAGCTCATGAAAATATAGACAAACATATATAGAGTTAATAACTCACCTATTACACTATACACACCGAAAAACACCAATTTTATCGAGACAAAACTGTTGTCAGCGAATTATATTTTTTAACAAGTAGATTCCTCCACAAAATAACAACATAAAATATAGCCGATTGACTTGGTCTGATCCAAAAGAACGGACAAGAACGATAAGAAACCTTGTATCCCCGTTTGCTCCACAGATACAAAGAAAGATATGTAGTATACTTGATATATCTAGCCATATATATTTTGCTATAGTATATGTTGAGTTAGGCATCATGGTAAGAGGGGGAGAGTGGCGAGATTTCAGGTATTTTTCTATCCACTTCTCCCTTTACGACACAATATATTTTATTTATGCTAAAATAAATAAAAGTGAAAAATAAATATTCGATTTTATATTCTCTCTTTTTACGATGTTTGGGATAAGGGTATATATAGTCGATGTATGCCGAGTCTATTCTATAACTATAACTATATATATCTATACAGTTTGTCCCTATTTACCCCAGAATTATTCGAAATGTCTAGTTTATCTTTATGGTGTCAGCGGATATGTAGCCTCGACCGAAACTTTCCACTTTTTCACATTTCCATTCCTAGGAGATCCCTAATCGTTGCCCAGTATTGCGATGCTCGCAGAAACAATGTTCTTGTCCATTCGTTTAAAATGTAGGCTACAACTATACGAAATATGTGTGAAACAATGCGAAAATGTTAAGATATAAATGGTTTGAAGGATGTAAATGAAAAAAAATTAATAATAATAATAATAAAAACGAAAAGAGAGTGTGGGAATATATATGATTATTAGTTCGCATCTCTAGGGTAAAACACTTTTCGACACGTGAAAAATCTATATGTGACATTGATTTGATATGATGTATGAAATATATTTATGGATTCCTGGTATGGATTATGGCAATAAATAGATAAATAAATAAATAAATAAATATACATATCGCTTTAAGTGAGTGAGATATGAGTTAATTTACGTATAATTAAAATTAATGACAATTTGTATTATATGCAAATCAACTCGCATCTCACTCGCTTGAAACGATTGATGGATAAATTACAATTCACCGAATCAATCAGTAATAGTTATTATTATTATCATTATTATTATTATTATTATTATTATTATTATTATTATTATTATTATTATTATTATTATTATTATTATTATTATTATTATTATTATTATTATTATTATTATTATTATTATTATTATTATTATTATTATTATTATTATTATTATTATTATTATTATTATTATTATTATTATTATTATTATTATTATTATTATTATTATTATTATTATTATTATTATTATTATTATTATTATTATATATTAATCCTCTTATACAATATTTATAATTCATAGCTCAATTAACATAATTTTTGCCCTTTTCCTTTGAAGGAGCGTTATATTACATTTCCTGCGGCTTGTCTCTCATGGTTTTCTTCATTACCCTATTAAAGTATACACTTGGCATATAAAAATTACAAGGACAATTTATAGTGATAATGGTAGTAGTTTGTTTGTGTAATAGTAATAATAAGATATAACGGTAGTTCTTTCTAGTGATAGTAGTTTCATAGTAATAATCGTAAAAGTTAGTAGTGGCAACTATAGTGGTAGTGATAATAATGTTACTGATACTTATTAATCAGATAACTAGGAATTGTTTCGTTAACTACCATTCCACACGTATACTTGCATAAAGCCCGGTGTCAAATTTCTCTTGTTCTCCCTCTTTCTTCCTTCCCCTCCCTCCTCCCCTATCTCCCTCACTTCTACCCTCTCTCAATGTCTCTAGTCTCTACAATTGCGCAATTTTCTTTTTTATGTAGATGCATGTATTATTATTTTTGCCTTTTTGTGTTTTTTATAAATATGTGCCACTTTTTATCGTAGCAAAATGAATGCTAGTAGAATCCTCAATCGTTGTCGCGCATATTAATGCGCATTTAGTAATACTGCTTTATTCTCGTAATAAATATGACAATAAATCTGATTCACTTTTTCACTTTCGCTTCGCGCGCGTACACAAATTCTCTATTATTAACATCACAACTAGGAAGTGCCCCCGTTTTCCACATATTACGTTATCTTACACATTTATCGTAGGAAACATGAAGTAGTATATATGAAATTATTCTCAACTAACAATAAAATGGTAGAATTAAGAAATATTTATACAATGTTGCACAGTGCATTCTTGTACATTCTTTTTAGAAATACTCCATTACAAGTTTTTCTCGTTTATACATATACATACATATATATATATATATATACACATATATATGTATATATAAAATCTTTATGTATTAAACAGCTATAGTTTTAGCATCATTAACATATCTAATGTTTTAGATTATTCATTATTAATTTTATTTATTCATCAAAATAAATTTTATTTATTTTATGTAAATTATTTTTTAAATCAATCAATGGTGAACTATAAAAAAGATAGTAAATTATTGTTATAAAATTTAGAATAGCTGCATCTTTTTCATAGTATTAAATATCTTTCATATCTATTTGTAAAATTTGTATAAAAATCCTTATTTTTTTTGGTGATCGCATGTAACCTTCAACCTATAACACACATTGTATAACTTTGGTTATCCATACACTTGTAGATGAAGAAATATAACAAATCTATTAAAAACTATGCATAATGTGTTGCACTGTTCGTTTAATACTTCATAAGTTGTAATGCACCTTCCTCCTCTCTGTATCTAATTATATACTACTTCATATTTAGGAGATGTTACTTCTTGCGTTTATAGCGTCTAATTAAAGTTTTGTCTGCTGGCACTATTACCTGTGATGCACAAGTAACATTACTACATAACAAACAAACATTTTTTATTACTGACGATTTAGGCATTTATTGAGGAACATTGAATATGAAATGTAAACTTATATACAATACATTGGTATCGCTGTTCCTTAGCCTGGATAATGAAAAATGCATTAGAAGAAGTATAATGGAAATCGAATTACATCGTTTCACAATCAATGTCCCTCGTATTTGAATTCCTTCTCATTCTATCTGCATTAAAATAAGCCTAACGATATCTATACAATTTTCATTTCTTAATTAGAATTTCAATTATAAGTCCACTTGAGACTAACAAATTCATATCTTCTTTAGTTGATTTGGGGCAAAACGCTTGTGTCGAAATTAGTACAATCGCTGCGCGACTTGTATTTAATGCCCGATGATTCAATGGAAAATTATATTACACATTTCATTTACATATTAGAAGAGTGTCAATCGCACTATAGATTGTGCAAAAAAGTCGATAAGCCTATTTATAATATATGTATATGTACGAATTTTATATACATACATACACACATATGGACACACGCACGCACGCACGTACGCGTACACACACACACACATACACACACACACACACACACACACACACACCCATATATATAGTCATATTATAACAAAAACGTTTATATATACATGTAATGGTTGCTTGCCTTTTTCAAATGTTTATACCAATCACATTGTCATTTTGTCATGAAAAGGAAGATTTTATAAAATTTTCCAGATATGACTAACAATAAGCTAGCTCGATACAAAATATAGCCAATTTTTTTATTACCAAATAAAGTTATCCTATTTGGAAATAAAAATGCCTATTGCAATATTTATAATAATGATTTAATAAACTATTCTTTAAAAGTAATATACAACATAGCATTCACCGCAACGGATCAAAACGGTTTGAAATATTATAGAGAATTGTTAATAAATAATTCATACACACGTACACACACACCTATGTATTATATATGTACCCACATCACATATTTATATACACATACGTACGCGCGTAGACACGCATATTTATATATACACTTACTAATAGCATATAGTAGCAACGCTTATAATGTATGTCGTATAAAAATTTGGATAACATCAAAATTTTTTTTTTCTCCAGCTCGGCCAAATTTCCATCAAATAATCGATATCACGATGGATTAATGTTATTTATGTTTCGCAATTATTGTAAATGTGCTTTGACCGAACAATTGGTGGATAAAAAACTATAAGAGACTCGATAAAACTACTTGTTGTGTGATATGTATGTGCATGCGTGTATGCGCGCGCGCGCGTGTGTGTGTGTGTTGGCGCGCGCGCGTGTGATTGTGTATGTAGAAAGCCATAATCACGATTTTCTTAATGATATTATGTTTTTAAATATGCGCAAAGATGAATCGATTACGTTCAATGTCGAACTCGGACTTAATCGCGAACACATCTATACTATTGCTGAAGACAATATATATGAATGTATAATTAATATAAAATTGCAACGAAAAAACCGACACATATGAAAAATGGCAACGTACAAAATTGAATCGTAAATCAAATCGATTGAAACCAAGTCGGTGTAATATAAAAATCAAAGCCTATATACATGACGAAACATTGTGTGTCATCGTTCGTTCCTACTGTTTCCTATACATACCATAACTAACATTAACCGACAATCACCGTCATCGGTCATTTTCGCCGTTTTCGCTATCACAATTCAATTTAATTTTGAGTGAGATTTCTGTCAACATTACATAATATGTTAAAAGCAAAATAAAATAGCAATAATTACAATGACCTTGGACGATAAGAAGGAATAAAACGAGAAAGATTGCTGGAAACGTTATAAAGACAATTAAATACTGCAAGATTTCAAAAACTCTCGTTATGCATTTAAAGATCGCATGAATTACTAGTAATTGAACAATATGAGCAATTAAATTACTCGTTACAAAACACCAAAGAAATTAGGCTTTGTCGATGACGGTGATAGATGGCAAGACGGTCCTTTTCGATGTATTATTCCATTTAAAGTCTACATAAGAATATTTGATGTTGACTGTAACGTTACATATAGCGTACATATAGACCTTTGATGAGAACAATACGCAAAATTAGATCAACTTCATCATTTTTTCGGAAAAAATATACATCCACACTCGGGATCGTCTACAAATATTCTTGTCCCTGTGCTTATTCCAGTTTTCTGATACCGATCGATTGTAAAAGCCGGACTTTGCGATACTTTTCATTTTTATATATCATTATGTATACATTTATATTTAGATACATAGAAGGCGTCGCGCGAAGCTAATACATACTAATCCATGACGTGCATATATATGCGATTATTTTTTTTTTTTTCTTTTGGAAGGAGGTCCTTCTGGAATGTCTATAGATACTATTAACTATCACACATTAAAAGTAATGTTCAGTCACTTTACACTTATACTGCAGACTCTTCCGAAGGGGAGAGACGGCCATGTTCTGTAAAACGCAGACAACATTTTCATACACATCCATATTTGTGCATAGAAAATAATATACACACACAATAATTTTCCCATTAATTTCTATCGTTAATAAAGAAAAATACAGAAATTAGAATTTGAAAGCTAGAAATATACAAGTTTTATGACATTTCGTGCGACGTTATCGATACCACTTTGCGAAAAATAAAGGTTTATTATACGTGCAAAAGTAACATCACACATCCTCATGTTGAAAATAATTATATTATTACATATGCTGTACAATAAAGTAAACGAATAAATGTGTGCATTGCTTTTTATTCTCGTTCTGTCAAAATTTCTGTTATACTCGCGCATAAATTATCGAGTCATTCGCATAATATATATGTATATATATATATATATATATATATATATATATGTACATAAATTGAAATTTGCAGCGTATGAAGCACGAGACATGCAAAACGATGAATCAACTCTTTACGCGTCTGTGAAAGCAAAACATCATCATACTTCGGTATTGAGGTAGCATAAGTTGCTTTGGATTAACACAACAGTATGTCTGCGGTTATTTATTTAAAAGTGTGCCTTGATTGATTGCTGGTGTATAAATATACGAAATATGAGAGAGAAGAGAAAAACCGCATATATCGATAAAGCAATATTAACATATTACTTGCATTAGAAGCGCCGATAAATCGCGTGTGATCAACAACAAATCAATGCATATGTACTTGATAAAGTCTTTGGTAAAAATTATTTGGTACGTTTACGCCCGTTCGGAAGATCGTGCAGAGCCATGGAGCCTATAATGAATAGAACAGCTTGCAAGAAGAGTATATATGTTCATGGAAAACAAACAATCAACAACAATGATTGCTCAAGTATCAACAACATTAACAACATCAGCATTTACAACTTATCGTCCTTATTGTGATCGTCTTCTTTTTTTTTTTTTTTCCTTATCTTGATCAGTTCGTTATTACAATAACCACCAATGTCTCAGTCTTTCGCCGCATCTTCAACGTCATATGATATTTGTATAATTGGCAATAATAATGATTACCATCACGCGCGATCATTGTCTTCAGCAACATCATTTCTACGTAGTATACTTAATCGTCGCTATGGTCAATTCCCCCTCCGTGCGATCGTACAGGTTCTTTTGCTGAATAATTATAGTACATTTTGCATTGTCCCGCTACCGACCGTGTCTCTATTAACAATGAGCTATTTACTTATATCTAAAGAAGATAATATATAAAAGTATCTGCGCGCGCTCCTAAGTGAAGCGATTTTTTTTCCGACGTAAAATGTAATGTAATGTAGCAGTAATAATATCCATGATAATGGAGACTGCCCGCTGAAAATATTATATCCGATGATTATTGTAAACATTATGCATAAAATTGGTCGGTAGCCCTATTTACGAAATGTAATTGAGTCATCTAATCTTATATAACACATTTACTAACACACATTGTACAACCATTTCCAAATATCTTATAGTATAAAATGTCCCCCCATTCTTATAATCCTTTTGGTAAATAGCACATCAATCGCGCCTCTCTCTCTTTCTCTCTTCACTCGCATATAATTTCGTAATATATCACGCGCTAACATACGTTGCCTGGAGGCATTTCAAATTCATGGAAATAATGCAGAAAAATGAATGCTCTGAAGCTCTGTTTGTAAAAAGTAATAATCTGTAATTTCTTTGCGCACAGAGCTCACAATCCTATAGATAAAGAAACATAGGACGCAGTCTCCTTGATATACGTATACGATATATACATGATGCCCCGTAGCTAATACAAGCGGGAAGGAAACGATTCAACGTGAAAAAGTAAGCAACAAATTTTCTCACCTTAATATCATTATAATTATAATTAAGTAATCCTTTATATATTTTTTATTACAGATAATAGGCAGATTTAATTGGCAATCCTATTTTCGCACAAATGCAATATGCAATTATATTTTCTTTAAATTAATTTATGTATTTTATTTGTATTAATCGATTAATTGATCGATCGTTATTCTGTACATGAAAGTATTAAGATTATTAAAAAAAAAAAAAAAATGTATCTTCTACGTGATATTTCATATATGTCAGGATATATCGAAATATAAAAAAATATAATCCCGTAAACTATTCGTTTTCCAATATATGTGATAATACCTTATAATATTCTTTTATACGCAAATTGACTAGGAGAATCGATTTACATAAAATAAATCAAGAATGTGTGTGTGCGTGTGTATAAAAAATATCTCTTGTTTTCAATGATAGGAAAATATATAAAAAATTGAAATATTGGAAAAAATTTTTTTCGTCTATAAGATGCGCGCCTTTGAAACAAATGTCCCTTTCTCCAAACATATTTTCCTAGAATTAAAAAAGCAAAGCAAAAAAAAAAAAAAAAAAAAAAAATAAAATAATAAATTATATCACGGCAAAAAAAAAAAAAAAAAAAAAAAAAAAAAAAAAAAAAAAATTAAACATTTTATCGTTGTCAAACAATGAAAAGGACACATCCTTAATATAAAACAATTTAAGTGAAAATTATATGTAAAACACATTAAACTCGACTTTATTTTGCTATGAATAAAATCTTACATTTATTGCTTTTATACTCAGATGTAAGCTAGTAAACTCTAATAGCCCATAGCAAAATTCATTCAATCATATTTAAAATTTATCTTAATTTAATAAAGAGAAAAGACAAGATATAAAGCTTTGTATAAAAAAAAAGTTTACTAAGTATCTTAACTTTTTTATGTAAATTCACCTTCCTAATCGTATTACACGATATCTTGCAACGACTTCTTCAAAAGCAACGATATATCCCAGAGACTCGATTTTCCACTATATTTTTGTGCGCGGTGTAAAGTTAACTTACGCTGTTTCAAGTATTTATTGAATATAATTGTTATAAGTACACGCTGTAGTACGAACGCGATATAACGCGATAGTCGTATGACAAATATAGTCTATTACACGACGTTGTAATACTGAGAGACTACGGATTATCAATTTTACAAACAAACAAAGCCAACTCAGGAAGAATTATTGTCATAATTGTTTGCAATTGATATTTCGAGTTTTCAAAAAAAAGTGCTATTATAATGTCTTTCTAATAATATATGTATAATAACAATTTAACGACTGCCTGCTACATTTCGATATCTATATGAAAAATTGTTCGGAATAATTATCTTTTCCTCTCTTCGTCAATATGCGACACATATATAAATTGATGTACGTGCGACATAAAAACGAATAAAATGCATCCCTAGTATCGAATGTATCGTATAAGCTTATCTCTTAACACTTTTATGTCAAAACACACCTCGGTATTACCAAAAAATGTCACATTTGTCACATTTGTCATATGTGAAGATATTCCTAGCATGATACTTAAAGCTCTTACAACTTTTACAACACATTTGCGCATAGATAGTAGCGATAGCTGGGGTTTTGGACTAGACGTGATGCGGTTGAATATGAGACAGTCGACTCGACGAACTGGATCAGGATTTCATACTACTATCGTCCAGTCGTCTCTCTGTCGCTACCGTTAATAGATTTGAAAATTCCATCTCTAGTAATTGTCTTGCCTGTAAAGATAAAATAGCGCGAATATATAATTTGTTTGATTTTTACAAAGTAATGAGATGATATAATGTAGGATAAGACTCTGTAAATACATGCAGTGTATTTACCTGCGTATTTTGTGTGGGAATTTGTAAAGTTAACGCAAAACTATTTGCATCGAAACTTTCGTCTAGAGCTATAAGTGCGCCATGCACACCCGATTCCAAGAGATTATTCCCATATTCCTATAATAAATAAATTAGATATAAATTTTTCTTCGCAAATATGTATGACCAATTGTAACAAAGTATTAAAGGATGTCCAACCAACCTTCAAACCAATTGATTGAACCCATCTTATAACACGATCGTTACTCCATACGAGTACATCTATATTGGCACTTTCTGCCACTCGTCTTCTTTCTTCTAATTGCTGCCTATCATAATTTAGTCGTTTTAAACAGGAAATACCATACTGCAAACTTGTTCTGCAACGTATTAATAATATTGTAATTGACGATAATAATAAAAAAAGTAAACATAGTAATATAGTAATAACGAACAATGATAATATTAATATATATATATTTATCATATAAACTTGTCTCTCTTAGATGATTTGTCTCTTAGATTTGTAATCACTTTGTTCAACATTATTTTTTCTGTATATTACCTGTGGAAGCTGTCAACCATTCTCAGTTGACCACGAAGATCTTTCTTTGTAAGATGATCGAGCATTCTAGCATCAACAAGGCACTCCATGAAAGTGGATCGGTATTGGGGCAATCCGAGACTTGGTAACCAAACATTACCTATCCACTCGTGATTCATATCACCAAATGCTAATGTTGTGCGAGAGGTTTTTGGCGCAGACGGACTCGTAAGCGACACCATCTCTTGAATGGCTAATCTCAGCTTCAATCGATGCAAGGGATTGCTATTACAAAAGTATAGACATGTAAATAGGATTGTAATGTTATATAACTTTTATAATGCTATATAAGTTTTATTGCATATATAAATATTCAAAGTAACTTCACAAGTAATCAAACTTGTTGGACGATGCGATCGTTTTTATATAAGCCTGAATTTTTTCATACCTTATTCCAATCTCTCGTTGAATCTCTGTATCGCTAAGAGCACTCATGATAGCACCGCTTTTGACGTTTGCTCGACAAGCAGCGACATACCATGTCGGCATGCCCACCCATAACTCCAACCACGCGACTACTGTTGGTCCATTCCATAGGGCAAAAGGTGTTCCTGCTTTCATCGCTTCCGCCAAAAGCTCATGCCGCGAAGAATCCAACATGCTACCAAACATACTCGGACTAAAATAAATATGCATACCAAGGATTGTAATAATTATTAAATGAATTTTTGCAAACTCGATATTACGATATTATATACAGAGCAACAAGATCAAATTTTAAAATATGTTTAACATTATGCATGACACACTGCGATATTTGGATGATAACTGCTGGCTATATAATGCAAATACAAGAAAAACTATCTTAATAAAAAAGTTTTACTTATAATATGGATGTACAGTAACTCTTTGCATAAAATATTAATCCCTCCTTTGCATTTGCAATAATTTAAAATTCAGTGGCAATTTAGGCAACTGAGAGCAGACCAGATATGAGTGCAAAAAATTAATATTCAACAAGTACTAATTGTTGCTGTAATTAAAAGTAAAACAAAAGAATAAAGAGATACATATATAAATTATTAATAATTTAATAATTATATTTGTTTAAAGAATTAAAATAGCAGAATTTTATAATTTTGATATAAATACCTCTTCTTTTTCCTACGATCAAAATCACTCTTGCTTCCAAGTGTACCAGCTACAGATACGCTGTCCCCATAATCAGGATCAGCTGGTGTACTTGCACCTCCCATCCCTGGCACATCTCCAGGCATCGGTGTGTCTTTTCCTTTAATCTAACAATCAAAGATAATGATTATTTCATAGATAACATTTTATAATCATATTAGGACACAATCATATGTTATTCTATTCTTTATTTTTTTCTATGTCATACACACGCAATATACATGACATATGGAAATTTACGAGATTTCATGATGAACCTTCCTATCAAAATATCTGAAATGCATTAACCATTTGCCAAAAGATCTTTTTATTATTTTATATATATTTATTTTATTGACATGTAACACGTGTGTTTTCGCACTATACATTTAAATTTTATTTATAATCTTATACGGTATTTGATTGAAAAATTTGCCATATAGTGTAAAATTAGTTATATAATTCTAGTGTGTTTACGATTATCCAAAATTAAAAATGTAGTTTTCTTATATCAAATCAATCACGGCCTCTTAAAAGATTAATAATAAAACAGAAAAGAAATTTTGCTTATATAAAGCAATGAACACATGATGAACGAAAATAATTGTAAAACATATGCGAAAACAATTCCAAGATGCATCTCAGAATTATAGTGAAAAAGGCTCACGTTTGCAGATTTCTATATATGCTATATAGATATAAATCATATTATTAAGAATATAAATAAGAAAATTTCTCACCTTCTCCTTTTTACTGAAAAATCTACCAAGACTGCTCTTAATGCCTTTCTTTTTTTGAGCAGCCGCGACCGCAGCTGCCGTAGCGGGACTCATGGTCGATTGTATGTGCAAATGCGACGTTGACAATTGTCCAATAGGCAGTCCAACGCTGGAGAAGTTGTTCTTGTGCAAACTGTCCTGGCTGCTGTGGCGTGAGGACAATGGGGAAGGGGGAGTTCCAGAATTCAGTGCGCCGTTGTTATGCTGTCCATGCCTGCTGCATGGAGCGCTAATCTAATTTCTATTTCTACTCTAATCGATGCTACTACATTCTAGCCCACGCGAAAACATTATTTGTTTATCTTTTTTCTTTCTACTCTTTTTTTGTTTCTATATATTTATGAATTACTATTACATCATTACTATTTTAGCATTAGTTATTTTAGCTTCCTGTATAACATACTATTTTGTGTAACTTGGTAATAAATGATATTGTCATAAATAAGTAATTTCAAGATATATAGTTTTTGTGATTCTTCATGTTTCTCATATATATTTTTATCATATATATGCTTTATTGCTTTTGCGTTATAATTAATTAATTAATTAATTAATTAATTAATTAATTAATTAATTAAAAGATGGTGTTATAATTGCTTCTTTTTTTAGTTCTATTCTTTCTGCACTGCTCAAAGAAAGAAACTTACAGACTCGAGTGAATTGTGATGCAATCATATGCAATAGCCTTGACATTATGTGTATATATGAGCATATATTATATAGTAAAAATTTAAAAAATTTATATTAGCGCATTATCAAATTAATAAAATTAATAAATTAATAAATATAAGCACATATCTAATAAATCATATATAGAAAAAGGGAAAGTATTCTCTACATAAAATTTCACTTTTACGAAATATTCAATAATACTTGTAGTCGTGTACAAACAATAATAAAAACAAGTACAATACCTACTCAGTATTACAGTATTAGACATAAAAATTTAGAAATATTGCCAATTACCCACTATAATAAGATGGAATTGTTATATAAATCGGTAAAGACAAGTGACTACAAAGATATATGTAGAAAGAAATTAACAATATAATAAATTGTCGTAATTGTTGCATAATAGAATCTAAAAACTTTTTACTTTATAAACAAGGAGAACGCCATTCCAATGTTTTATTAAATTGTATTAAATTTTTCATCGACGCATATTTTATCCAATATTCAATATATCTGTATCTTTGTAATCTCTGTTTTTGTTTTTATACGCAGAAGAACCTTGTGCATGAGACGGACCGGCGTATTTCACGCATCAAATCCAATTCTCTCGGTTCCGTAAGTAACTTGGTCTGTCGAAGATCGCGATGTTTATCATGAACTGGGCAGGCTTGAATGTACGACGAACGGGAGAAGAAGCTATCAATCCCTTCCCGGATTTCATATTTATCAGATCTATCGGGCGCTTCATCCATGCCACTGTGCTCGTGAATCGTTACTGCGGGCATGTAAGTGACATACTGTGCACATACTATATATATATATATATATATATATATATAGGTGTGTGTATGTGTGTAGCTGAATAAACTGTATGATTTTAAGTGAGTAATGTAGATTCAAATGATGAACAAACATGTTACCATCAATGTGGCCTGGTTTGATTTCAAAGTTGTTCGTCTCATGCCCACAAGAGCTATTCGAATGTGTTGTGCACAGCGGTGTATAATAATAATGCGGTTTACATGCAATATTAATATCTTTAAATAACCTGTGCGTGGGGAAACCACTGCTTGGAAATCCGCTCTGTCCAGTACGTCTGATAGCATAAACAATGAAAAGTACGAATAATTTAAGAGATGATGGTAGAAATTCTGGCTCAAAAGTCTCATCTTGTCGTGCAAACATTATAATCAAGATAATAGATAGAGATTAATAATTAAGGTTTCCCCACATTAAGATCATAGCGCGATCTTTTGTGTACAATGTTTTCGCACCTCCATAATTGTAAAAATAAATATTAAATTTTGCGACTTTTAAAAATGTGATTGCCAAAAGGAAAAGAGTGCCAGAAATTATATAATTTATAGCATATTTACACCATAAATATATAAACATTATGTGTGAAAGCATATACAATCAACATAGTGTTAAGTTGGTTAGAGAATCGAGAACTTAGTAAAATAGCAAATATACCTTCTAAGTTCTTCCTGACTGTGAGCCAATGCTTGAACCACTCGTTCCAATCTCAGTGATCTGGCTGTTAGAGGAGAAGCTGCATCGCTACCACCACTTCCCGCACCACCAGTGCTGTCTCTTTCACTAACCGAGTGTAATTCTTCTCCTGACAATTGTAACTGTCACAAATAATAAATATTATTATTTTGTATATATTAGATAAACAATAAACACGTTAAACAATAAATAATCAATCTTTTGTATCAGGTTAATAATAATAAAATTGAATTGTTTGCAAACCTGGCTAGCAGGAAGAGATTCTGACAATTGGCCTGGACTAGCTAAAGACACGGCATATTGATGTAAATGCGCTGGAGACATTGACGCAGGTGCCTACATAAAAGAAAAAAATATAGTGGCATATTATAAATAATGTGATCAGAGTGTGCTTAAACTGTAATTAAACTATAATTAATATATAATAATTATTATAGTTTGCAATATTACGTGATTACTAACGGTGTGGTACTTGTGCAAATAATCTCTGTTAGGACTATGATGCGATTTTGGAGTAGATCGACCACTCAGTGGCGGCGATGCTCGTTCAAGGCTTCGCCCTCTCGCTAACAAATTCATATGCTCCAGACTGCCGACGCGAGATTCCAATTCTTCTGCACGCGCTTCCGTACTTTGTTTTTCTTCCTATAAAGTTAAACTAAATTCGAAATGCGTACAAAATCACTGGGTAAATAACAAAACATAGCGAAATAAATGTATAGCAAAAAAGTATATGTATATATATTTATGATTAATTTTTTGATTCTACTAAAAGTTAATTTTTCCTTAAAGATAAGCGCAATTTTTTTCTGTACAATTAAAAATCTATTTATGAAGCCTCATAAAATATAACTAATTTTTAAATTACTGAACTGTAAACATAAAATTTTTATTGAAGCTTAAAATGAAATGTAGAGAAGTAAGTTTAGTTATCAAAAAATCCTCCAATTTTCAATCGGTTAGAACTTAAATACATTATGGTGCTTTGATTGGTGATTTTTTAATAAAAAATCAATACTATACTCTATATGGAAACAAATAAGTATGTACAAGCAAAAAGTGATTCGGCAAGTATATGACACAATCTATTCTAATTGCTTCACATTAATGTTTAGAATTTAATTTGTGTAAAATATATTCGTATATCAAAATATTTATTTACCTGAATTAATCTAATTTCCTTGTTAATAGCATCCAATTGTTCTTGCAGCATCAATGCCAATGTTTGAGCATCTGTATGTCCCGTAGGGCTAATTACATCAGCCGCACAACTGAAAATACTTTCGTTATCTCCATCACCCTCCGCGTCGCTCGAAACATCAAACGCTTGTTGAACATTAGCAAGTACGTGCGCTTGTTGCAGTTTTTCCCACTCCTGCTCCGCCAAAGTTCGTGCCACATAATTCTAAAGAACGTCAATTCATGTTACACATTTGCTTTCAGATATGTGCAATTAATAAATAATCTTTATATTTTGATACAAGAGCTGCAGTACCTTTGACGAATCTTCATCGATAGATCGTTTACCTCCTCTTCTAGGCAATGAGTGCGTATCAAAACTGCTGTGACTTGCGCTTCTTGAGAAAGAACTTGGATCTACAGCATTTGGAGATAAACTTCTCGTCAAGGCGTCCGTTTGCTGAATATTAAATGCAATCTCCTGTTGGAGCATCTGTCTTTTAACATTGTCGATTTCTAAACGTGCTTTTCCTAATTCTTTAACAATGTCAGTCTTTTCATTTTGCAGATCCTCCGCTATCTTCCTTGTTTTCTCGAGTTCCTGAGTAAGCGCATTCTTCTCTTCCAATGCGTGCATCCTTTCTTTCAAATGTACTTGCAATCTTTCATTAGATTCTAAATAAAAATTTAAACTTTTAGAGCATTTCATATAAAATTCTTTATTATCATATAATATATATGATGTTTTATATATATATATATATATTTTATAGCATGTTAAATAGCCATTATGTTTATAAAGGCAAGTAAATAAGATGAGACATCTTTAAATATCTCTCCTGTTTTTGAATATATATAAGGGAGTGCTGTCCATAAAAAAGTGGTACAATTCATAATAAGAAAGAGATAACTATAGTAAATAATAGAGAAAAAATTTGAAGCAGTAGATACAAGCTTAATAATTGTGGGAAAGTAATATAAAGGCAAATATTGGGAAAAAATTACCAGATAAAAGTTTATCAACGGTTGTGCTAAGACGCGTATTATGCTCCTCATTCATCTTAAGTCGTTGATTAACGCGCATAACTTCTGCATTTTTTTCTTCCAACTGTGCCTCCAGCCTTTGGATTCTATCCTCCGCGCTACCATGCCTCTCCTGAGCCTGCTTAAATGTTTTACATAATTAAAATTATCTGTTATAAATGAATTGATTTTTAACGTTATACCGACTTTCTCTCTGTTATAATGATACATCTATTTTTATGAAATTGACCTTTACAAAATTATTTCTTTATCTCTTTAATAAATTTTGATACAAATATCAACATTTCATAATTATAATCAGAATATACATTATCGAAATGTAATTTAAGGCAATTAATAAATACACACATAATTTATTAATTTGTAAATTTCTCTATATAATTATCTTAATATTCCTATGTAATCTAAATGAGACATTCTAGAATGAAAATACAGCAAGAAGAGCGCATTATATCCAGATGAGCAAGAAGAAAGAAGAGAGAGTGAACGCACAAACATACATACGCACGCACCCAAGCACGTACGAACGCACGCACGCACGCATGTACGCCCGCACACTCGTACGCACATACATACATACATACATCATCATATTAATAAACGTTCAAGAATGAGACACTATTCATAAACTATAAATGATGATAGTTTGAAACATATCCGTCACTTGCAGAAGTAGTAGATATTGTACAGACCAAGTTGATTTCCACTATTCGCACATGCTGCATTGTATCAGTTTGCAAATCATATAATATAGAACGTGTAATTAATTTTCAAAAATAAAGAAATTATTTAACTAAATTCTCTTTCTTAATGCAAATAAATTGAATGTGTAAGTTTAGCTTTTGTATTTGTAGCAAACAATTTGTGTATTTTAGCGTAAATTGTTGCAAAAACACACAGCAATACATAAAAATACTCGATCTGTATTATGTATATATAAATCGAATGCTATTATTATGTATCATACATGTGTATACATAAAGTATCATGATATAAAACACATGGAGCAACAAATTATTGTTTTTCGTGTATCTGAAATCAACTCAAATATAATCAGAGCACTTTGCGATAATGATGCGTATTAAGAAAGCTCTCTAGACACAAATCTTATCTCAGAAACGTTAAAGTGCAGAGGAATAAAAAAAAAGGGAAAGTTAACGAGATGTGACGTGACATGATTCCCCTGCGTACCTGGTTGGGCCTCCTCACCTGCGTCAGAGCCTCCATCCTCTGTTTTAATTGCTCTTCCATTTCTGGTAATTTAGCATATTGAGCTAATTTCTGTTCCGCGAGTTCTAATTTCTCCTGTATAGCAGCGATTTTCTCCTCTTGGAGCTTGAGTAACAAGTTATATATTCAATTAATCATAAGATCATATAGATATATACAACTATAATAAAGATATAATGTGAGGTTTAATCAAACTACCTTTAATTGAGCTTTTTTATGCTGCAACTCCTGCTCCAGCTTTTCATTAAGGTCATGAAGACTAGTGGATTCCCGTTGAGCATTGAGATATCGTTTTTCTAGAGTCGCTATTCTCTCCTCTTGATCCTCTTTTTGCGCTGCGTTCTCCCGCAGATCTCTTTGTAATTTGAGACCTGCCTCCTGTGCTTTTAGGAGATCCTTCTGTGTTTTTGACAGCGTTTCCTCTAATTCGGCAACACGTCCGCTTAATTCCGCTACTCGTCGTTGCCACGTACTTAATTCCGAACTCTACAATAATATTTGCAATATTTTACATTGATTATACCATCAATTGTTAAAGAAACTGTTTTAAGCAGCACGTGTAGAGATCGAGACGTATGTAATCCAAGTATGCAAAACTCTTCGTCATAATTAAATCTTACATCAATTATCCTATATGACGCTATAAGACTAATTCAGGAAGATTCTCGTGTGCGTATATTTATAGATGTATACATTTATCCATCATTTATAATATTTGTTCTGCATTTTCCACATTAAGAAAACGGCGAAGCTTTTTGAACAAAAAATATTGACTTAAATAAAATCCATATTTAATCACTAGTCATGCAATTACAAAACAATATTTAACATGAATATTTATTGCTCATTCCATAGCATGCCATAGGCACCATTAAAAATATGATATTAACAAGATATTAACAAGATATTAACGAGATATTACCGAGAAAGATATTTTTTTATGTGTTATAGAGTATTAACGATTAGATGTTTGATATTAATTTAAATTACATATTTAACTCTCGATCCGCTTAGGCATAGATAAACGAGATTCAATGTATAAGGTGTCTGAAAAAACCGCCAGACATCTTTTTAATGATACATTTTTTTATCAATTTGAAGCCAATTTTTATATCAGCAAAAATGTCGAAAAAGATTGTCATTAATGGCAATTTTTATAAATCTTTGCAACTCTAGCAATAAATATAAAATTATAATTCTACATTTAAAATAAATTTCTCTCTAAAAGTAACAAAAAGTGTATAGTTTTGTCATTCATTTGTAAAGTGCTTCTTTTTCAATCGCTTATAACTTGAAAATGTAATGATGCTTTGACATTTTCGCTGAAAAGAAAAGAATTAACTTCAAAAGGTCTATCGTTCACAACATACTCACGATTTTTTTAAGACACTCTACGTGAATAAATATGCGTATATAATCGTGTGTTTAATTTATAATTTAACAAAAAAATAATTCTATGTGCTACAAATAATTTTATTTCTTACAAGTCGAAAGACTAAAATCTATACTATATGTACTTTATTTATTAAGAAATTTTCTCATGCATTCTATAACAAAGTAAACATGTAATGAGATGTACGTTAAGTGTTTTTTTAAATTCTTTTTAATAAAATAGAAAATTTCTTACAAAATGTAATAATACAAGCTAATAGAATATCTATATAATAAAAATATGCTTATTACAATTATATCGAAATAGCCCATGTCGAATATTGTCTAGTATTTTTCTTATTTGGCTCACACGTTTATGCTCAATATTGTGCATAAAGTGAATAATTCATGCAAAATTGAAAATAATCGAAATAATAGAAAATAATATTTATTTTGTGTGTGTGTGTGTGCGTGTGATTAAAAGAAAGATAGGAATGTGTTGTGATGATAAGACTATGAAAATTAATCGTGATCTTTACATATATTTGCATATAGAGATGGAGGACTACCTGATGTTTTGTAACAGTTGAATTTTTTTAGCCGTTTTTCGCAGTATAGTACTAATTCGTACCTGCTTGTCGAGAGTGGCTTGTAAGTCTATTACTCGTACTGCTGAGTCCTGCTCGGCGAAATCGAGACTTCCATTGCTCAGCCTACTGCCGACTTCAGCTGACTTCTCTGTACCTGGTTTTTGTACCGGTTGTTGTTGCTGTTGCGATTGATGTTGTTGATGCTGCTGGCTCGTTGTCTGTTGAATTTCATTCTGCCCGATCACAACACTACATTCAGAATGCCTCGCTCGCATTGCCTGCCCTGCATCGCCGCACACTTCCCAAAAAACTACGTATACACAACTACGCGAATGTACGACTATCATGCACGACACTATGGTAGATACATTCGTATGAATGTGCGAATCGATGAGTTAAAAACATAAAAAGAATGACTCACTATCATTTATCATCTGACAAGTGTACAAGTACACTTTTAATGTTATTTTGGAGAGTAAATACGTAAATGATGAATGGTCATGGTTACATTTTGTATTATTTTATGTAATTTTTAATATTTTTCTATGACATGAAATATGGAAAATGTTGCAATGAGATGATAAGATGAGAAAGATATATAATTCTAAAATTACGGTTAATTTTTGTTATAAAATTAAGGCGACAAAAAAATTCATCGATATTAAACACTATAAAAGAAATTGATTGTATTACCGATAACCTGGTTTTTTCGACTCACATCTCTTAAACAAACTCAAACTAGAAGCTTTTGATACAAACTTCAACAATAAGAGAAGGAAAAAAAAAAAAATCTAAACGTCAACAAATAGGCAGGGGAATGAGAAAGGGAGGCTTATGCTAAACGTGAGAAACATGCAAAGTGAGAAAAAATTCCATAGATGCATTTCACGACTCTTAAACAGATTTAAAACATTTCCATTTATCCATGATCGGTGCGAGATATGAAAGCGACGTGTTTATATGTGAATATCTGTGAATGCTTGTGCACACATGTTTGATCAAAAAATTACATTGACGATTTGTTTTTAATACCTTATTCTGTTGCTGACCTTCGTCTGCCTGTCCGTTCTCTTTGGGCCTATCTTCTATAGCTTTTGGTGGATGACCGCTTACTTTATACTGCTGGAGCTGCAACCACACGATCACATTAACGGTGGCGATAACGGTCGTAGTGTCGGTCAGTCATTTTACATTTTGCTTCTTCTTTCTTTCTCCCGAAAAAAAAAAAAAAAAAAAAAAAAAAAAAAAAAAAAAAAACATTTTGATATGCATCTATGCGATTTTAAAGTCTCAATTAAATTTTCGCAGAAAAGATTTCTTGAATCTTTAAATTTAATAAAACGCAAAACTCACTTCTTCTTTGGTATGGGCTAATTCTTCCTCAAGACTCGTATTTCTTTCGAGGGACACGCGCAAACGTTCACGTACCTAAAAGTTCAGCAGCAACATTAACTCTTCACCTACACATGTCGTCTACATACGCACATATATTTTTGGTAACAATAACTGAAATTTTAAGCAAATAATAATAAGGCATCTCAATATTGATTTAAAACACTGTCTTGCTTTATACCGAGAAGGACTTAATGCATACAAGCGGCAAGATATATTTGATATGTATTTAAACAACACACACACACACACACAAAACACAGGTACGATGATACAATATAACGCAACGTCATCGCACGTATATGTATTGCTTCATTGTCATCTCGGTATATTGATTAAACACGCGGCAAATTGATACAAGCGTAAACGAGAAATTCTTTTTTGCCGCTTAAGCATGTATATACCGATCATAAGATGAAAATAATAAATCAAATAGTGTACACGTTATAATTGTGATGCGTTTCTATTTTATTTGCCTATAATTTCATTAAACTTCTTTGCGCATACCGCATAACCAAATGACTAAATCAATCGTTATATTCAATCATCTTTTCAGAATATTTTATATTTTCTCTCACATAAAAAAAAAAAAACATTTATAAATCAATTATTCTTGATTTGTGATAAACCGCAATATCAGATAACACAAATGACAGATGGGAGACAAATAGCAATACCAGATAAAATGACATGTATACCTTTTCATCCAAAGCCTTGTGATGCTCGAAAAGGCTTTTCAAAGCTTTGAGTACCTCTACCTCCGACGACACCCCGGATTGTGCGGCGGCTTGACGTTTCACAACTGTCATCCTGAGCGACCGTTCGTGTCGTGATACTAAACACTCCAAATGTTCGAGCAAAAGCTACAAGCAACGATAAATTACGTTACATTAATCGAGTCATGTCGATTAATGGCCTCAATTTTTATTTATTATTATACTTATTCATTATATCTATTGTGCTTTAAAGATTTTTAAACCTTTATTTATTTATGAAGAAAATAATTAAAGATCTCGTCAGGTTATAAAGGATTGAAAAAATTAGAAAACTTTGGCTACGCACGCGTGTGTTGTTTCGTTCTGCCTTTAATTCGGAAATCTCCTCTTCTCTTTCCAAGATACTCTCTCGTGCCGCTGCCAATTCTTTTGTCAGCTGCGAGAATTCCTATACAGAAATATATATAAAATGTCACACATTAGTATTACATAAACGGAAAATAATAATAGGACTATTACCGGATATTTTAATTGCGCGAAAATATTTGCAGCTTGTATTATTTTTATTTATCAACATATCAGCTCTTTTAATATTAAAATCCATTCAATTCTTGATAAACAAGTCAACATAAAATATAAATGAGCCGTTTTTGAGTCGATTTTCCCTTTGAAAAAATATGTCAAAATATTCATAGTTTTCGTGTTATAAATGATTGAAATTAAATCTTTTTAAAAATTAAGTGTTTTAGATTGTATGAACAAATAGATAATATAATCAATTTAATCAATTTAAAGTCGATTTTATTTTGATGCACAACGCTATAATCGGAAAAAGTTAGCAAAATGTGTGTATATATAATGTTGAAGGAATTGAAAAGTTGCGCTAAACAATAACCTCTTTTGATATTTTCGTTAAGAAAAAAATTGTCTGAAAATTAATCGGAAAAAATGACAGTTTAAAAGAAAAAAGTAACCCCCTGTGTAAAACAAGGAAAACGTTCCGAAAAATCACCTGCAGTAGTACACAATGAATGATGCAAATATATTTTTTCGCATTGTTGGATGATACCAATCGAGAACTAAACGGAGTCTGTTCCATAAGATATGTTTGTGTCACGAAAAAATCCTGACCAATATTCTTGAGCAACGATAATGGGACGAATATTTATGTTTAAATTAAGATACTTTTCCATACGCTTAACTTTCGTCCAAAATTAGGATCGTTTAAACGATTTATACCAATCAATTAACCAAATTACAACTCAAATATTTGACATTTTCTGGCTTTATCATCCGGCTTCTCCAAGATGTCAAATATTTGATTCTCAAATCGAACGTAATTATCAAATATCTTAATTTCCTACTCTTCTTTTTTTTTTTTTGGTATAATCAACGATTTTATTCGATAATGTAGCAGTATTCACAAGTGTGCTCCGCATTTACAATTGTGTTCCCAATCTCTTTAAACATTCTTATCTCTCATCGGTTAAAAAATGTTAACGTTTACGCGAGCGCGCGCGTTTTTTGCAAAAAAACTAGATTTGCACACTACTGGATCTGCACATAGTCTATTATGTCATTGCAAACTACGTGAGAATTTAAATCTGTACGTAAATTTAAATCCGATCTTATCAATTAAAAAGACCGATATTACGTGAAAATTATCAATGTTGTTTTAACGCCACGCATATCAGTAAGAGAAAGGGAAAGAAAGAAAGAAAGAAAGAGAGAGAGAGAGACTGAGTTAACGCAAAGTGCGCGAAAGCCAAACTTAATTATTATACATTATAAATAAACGCATCGAATATCAGCCTTGAGAGTATTGTCGATTCGAGAAAAGATATTATATCAATTTGAGATAAAATAGTAGCCGCGACCTCAAGATGACCCGAATGAACTTTCGATGGTAAAAATATGTTATAATCTAATATATACGAGAAAATACTATATAGATCAGTGGATTGCAGGAGAAAAAAATTAAAAAAATAATTTATTATAATTCATGATATAAATTTGACGTATTAAATCTCGACATTTATTCTAGAAAATTTTCTGAATATAGGAAAACACACACACTCACACACAAAATAACACGTAGAGGAAGAAAATTGCTTTTTTTTTTAATACCAGACAAAAACCTGTAGATCAGAATTCATTTGCAAACAAGTTCTTCAACGCAAATTTTTCTTGTCAAACGATAAATTCGCCTTAATTGTGGAAAACTAGCAATAAAGATATATTCTCAATAAAAATATATCTCTCGAATCAAACGATTTTAGATGTCATTGAAACCGCCATTGAATGACAAATAAATGCATCTAACAAGTGGAATATACTGATCGTACACATTCTGTAGACAATCCGTGGATAGTGACATCGTCCACAAACTGTCTTTGGACAGTTATGAGTGTATATTATGTATATTTAAAAAACGATTCTTATATTCGTAGACGGGGAATGATGTAATTGATATTTGTATCGCAAGGAATATTTTAATGCGGAAAACATGTTTATAAATACAAATATAGAATAAAAAAAGTATTTAATAATTGACCTAGATGTATAGATAGCTCAAGGATATAAATATCTATACGCTATTTAAACAACAGTTTATCAGTGGCTTATATATAATATTCAGAAGTAAACTATAATGATGTTTTTATTCGACTATCACAAACTGTAAATGAAAAGAGAGTGAATATCATATTCAAGTATGAGTATAGTAACAGAGTATAGTAATTATAAAGTTGCAAAAAATAAGTTATTTGTAAAATATCAACGTATTATAATAATTGTGTAATTTTCAAATTTCTTGCCTTTTCCGAAAACAAAATTTCGTGCTTGAAAAAGAGCTTACTATAAATATTTTCTACTTATTACTGCCAGCGATATTTTTGCTTTCCTGTAATCTTTCTATTGAAATAACTTTATATAAACTTTTTCTTACATCTTGGAATGCAAAATATACGGTAGTAGAAAAGGAAACATCAATTATAGGGAGAATTACAATATAAATGTTTTGATTATAAAAAATTATGTCATGTATGTGCCAAGGATTCTAAATAGAATGTTAAAATGCAGGAAATCACATCGCATGACGATAAACCGATAGTAGGTATTCTATTTCGGTGTTAATCATGTCCCAACACATGTTTGCCATAATTGGCAAACCTAACCACATAGGAATTATAGTTGGACACTGAATGTGTGTTTCCCACACAACCGCACGCGTGTATTACGGGATTGGGAACTATGCAACGGTCGTTATGCATACTCTCCGCATCTCTATTATTCGAGTGTAGAAAAATTCCTATTTTGTTGCATTCACTATATTACATGAAATCATGATGCGATATCATAACGCGATATATCGATAAAAAAAAATAATAGCGGACGAGTGTGAAAAAGAGATTAGATATTAATCCCTGTTATATGTTTTAAAAATAACTTTTTACATAAAATTTTCTGTAAGACAATTTTTTTCACTGATATTTGTTCGTAATCGTTTGTATTTCATTTATTATTCACTTGATTCGAACCTAGCTTGAGATATCTCTAAAATACCGGAATAAATTACATAGATATAGATAGTAGAAAACTCTAACAAATTACTTGCGCAATAAATAGCGTACCGTGAAGACGGACAAGACAAAGTAATTATCTAAATGAAGAATGACGTAAAATGTAAAAAGTTATAATGGGGAAAAGAAAAGGAACAACAATGCGTTAGATGAAATGTGTATTTCGTATTTCATTATCGATTCGATCGTTGACTACAAACGAAATACTATCATTTTCTGTATTGAAAACTTTATTTATTAAAAGTGGGGTGCCAACTTCACATAGGTGATCATTGTTGCATGTCAGCTTTATTCATATGCGTGGATTTAAATTAAACGCACATCGAAACAATGTAAAATCAAAGTTAAATAAATATAATAATTTCTATATTTCAGAGAAGAATTTTTAATTCCTTATTAGATGTTTATAAGCTAGGTGTATAAGAAAATTGTAAGATATTTGTAAAGAATGAATTAGATATGTGATCAAAGCCGAACCTCTCTGATTCCAAAACATAAAATTGATAAATTGTACAACGGATGAAATTTTTTACGATACTTTGAAACAATATTGTATAAACACTGGCGAAAAACGTTCTAAAATGTCGAAATCGTTCAATTTTCATATATAAAAATTAAAAGTAATAAATTAAATTTTAAAACATATAAAAAAATATAATTATTGCATTTTATATGGCATGGCAATTACATAACTGTATGTATGTTCGCCATAGACGATGCCCTGAATTAAAATGGTGGGAAAGATATTCGCGTAATCCAATTCCTCGATAACACTCAAGACACAGATGTATAAGTTTAACGATCTCGGCGCGGATGAAAATTGTTACGATATATTGGCACGTGCGATATTCTGAATATCTCTTTTGTTTCCTTCTCTACATCAGAGAGATAGGTCTATCTAGTTATTTATTAGTTAGGTAGACGCGCCAGATATATGTAGCGGCGACGAGAGAAAAATGCATAGGTATATACTCGTATGTACGGTTACATCCTACCGTTGCTTTCGACGACATCATTATCGTTGATTGCCGTTGCATCGACGTTACGGTTCTTTAATCAAATGGCATTCAGCCAAGAGAAAGTGTCTGCCCACGCGTTCCTCCGACGGCCATTATCATGACAGATTACACATTTCGTGTCGCACTTAACCGCGCGCTATGCGAATAAAGAGAGGATAATTCAATTTTGCAAGTTTTATCACAGAATTAAATAACTCGGGCAAAAAGTCTTGATAGCGTCATCAAGTAATAACGAGATATATATATATATTTGATATAAGTTTTATATTAATTGTTTCAACATTTATTTTTATATGTTTCTGAAAAATGTATATTTGTATAATTATTTCTTTTTTTATAATTTTGTGCTGTTGCAATCGCCCGTGTTGTTGACGTTTGATATATGTAGAATGTAGATGAAAGGGACGCGCGTCAATCTATATTATCTACAACTAACTTTCATGACTAAATGCATAAAGCATTCGCGTAGTTTTCACAAATTAACTCTATCGTGTATATAACACACAGATATAACACGATAATGGAATTCTTTAGATTTCTTCTGATTGTGAGAGTGATATCATCATAAGACTTGGCGCGAATTATCATTGCAGTCGAAGCGAGGCGTTATTGACTCGCATCAACTCGTGAGATGTATGTAAAGCCGTTTCTGGAGGTCGTAATATACACCAGATGGCAAGTCAACAGGGCTTGGTATTGTGGCCACACGTAAACATACTCGGCGATATTTCCCTTTCGTCAAAGACGATTCGATGCAAATTTAAACTTGTTAGCCATATAGACATATTTACAGATATGTTCTTTTCCGTGAATTATATTCAATTCTATTAACGTTTGTCATAGTCGTAATTACATATAATCCGATGTAGATGATGCCCGCAACCGCTGTCCACAAACTGTTTACAAATAATATGTATATTTTCTTGATTCACAATTATATCGATCAGTAAGTTAACATCATCAACCAAGTTAAAACGGTTCTTGTATAAGATATAGTGTGCGGGTAAGTAGAAAACTACATACCATGTACTATTGCCAGCTCCCCGATCGCGAGTAGTGTGTAAAAGGCGAAGTTCATTCATGCGCTGGTAAACGGATAGGTGGGGTGGGTATTGATCGACTAAGCACGTACACCCGGTACATTGCACTCACTCGCTCGTGTGCTTGTTGTTTCGCAAATTTTTGTCCCTTTACCTACAATCAATGTGAATTCTTCCTCATTTCATGTGTCTCTCTCTCTCTCCCTCTCTCTCTCTCTCTCTCTCTCTCTCTCTGTCTCTCTTTTTTTCAACGTTACTCGATACAATTTACTTATACATATGCGTACAACGTGATATAATATGTGATCCTGCTGTCGATTATTACTAGCTAAAGCACATGTCTTAATAATATTTTTTACATGTATATGACAAAACAAGTTTTTCTCACACACATAATCCTTTTTTTTAAAGAAGCCTAAGACAATAATATCTTATTTGAAACAAAACTTGATAGAAGATAAAAACCTTTGTACCAACTTAATTAAACTATTAAGTAACATATGGCAAAAAGTAAAACTTGAACGTTTATCAATTTTGGCGCTTAATAATTCTGACGTAATGTCAAGTTTTTAATTTTAGTACCATAATAATCAGCTGATTCACGTATGAAGTACAGAGCCATGCATTTTTCAAAATTAAAAAATCTAGCATCATAAATATCGCGCAATGGATTCTACCAAAATAAAATTTATTCAAAATATTTCGGTCTACAAAGTCGTCTCCTCGCGAGAGCAAAAACACTTTGAATAGCAAGAAAATACATGTTGTAAAATATGTAAATAATTTTAAGAGAATATGTAAAATGTTTAAGAAGATAACTTGCTTTTAACAATTAAATGCGAAATGTTACTTTGCACTTATTCGAAACTAGTAGAATCAGAGAAATCCAAAATCGATATTATATGTACACATACATATGTGCGCGCGCATATACCTTGAATATATGTTTAAAAATAGGTAATTTTTGGGAAACGCAACTATATATGGAGACCTTTTCCGCAACTTTTAGCGACAACAAGAAAAAATATCCAGGGATTGCACGTGATTATTGATCGTGTCCGAGAATGCTGCTCGCGTGCGAAAGCTTCCGCTCTTTCGTCGCCAAAAGTATTAAAAAAAAAAAAAATTATGTTGTGGACATACTCGGAAAGAGAGCAAAAAATGTGTCGGAAATTACGCGGCAACGCACAATCTCCATGCATTATATAATATTATATTCAATAAAGTGCGATATATGAATGTGTATTTTTACTCTTGAATATATTAATAAGATTTTTTTAAATATTTTAATAAATTTGTGTGTGGTGGGAGGGGGGGGGGGAGAGGAAGGGAGACTTATAAAACGTGTATATTTTCAAATAAAAAATTGCTAAAAGCATGATATATACATATTATATCACAATAAGAATAATAAAGTTAATCAAAATTTAAAAAAATTAATACAAAATAGAAGCTTAAGATTAAATTCTGTAATAAAAATTATTCCGTTTGCAGAAAAGCAGGACTATAGGACAAGATCAGCTTACAATTAGCTAGCTAATCATCCCCGCATAATCGAAAAGTTTATTTTTCCAAGCTGTTTTAAATCTATATTTAGAAAACATAGAGAAACGTATATACGAAATATATATACAGAAAAATCTATGCACGTATACATACACATATTTTCATTTTTTAAATATTTTGAACATACAATTTTTCTCTTTTTAAAATATAAATGTAACATGGTTAAATGATTAAAAATAAAATCTTCAATTTAAAACAGTTTTATGCATTTTATTTTAACAATCTACCTCCCTCCCTCCGTCCCTCTCCTTTTCTCCCGTGCGAATCTTAAAAAGTAAAAAATAAAATGCCGTGAGAATGGGAAAATTCCTATATTCTCGAAAGCACCTGATTCAAGGTAACGCTACGATGCGTCTATGAGATTTTGCAATCACCGTTTCCTCTGGGCTACAAGGCATGTGTAAAAAGCATGTCGCCAACACGTCATCAAGCAACTTCCTAGGCGGCAAAAGACTTGCATCATAAAAAAAGACGCGATAAAAAATTGGTAAACATACGCACATTGTATATATCTCTTTGCGTGTAAGCAGTTCAACACAAGCAAACGCTTTCTTTGCAAGAAACACGTCACAATTCATCTTCAAGAAACATCCCGCAATTCATTCTATTAAAAAAAAAAAAAAAAAAAAAAATCATCAATTATAAATATTTCTACAATAAGTATACTTTCCGCTATACTGCAATTATGCACTCATATATCATATTTAAAAGAATCTCTACTCGAAAAATTAGCAGATTAAAACTAATATATCAAGACTAATATATATACTCGGATTAGAATAATTCGATGAAAATGTAAAAGTCTAGGGAAAAGTTTTGCGGGTAATTAAATGCAAAGTGATCAACATACAATTTCGTCCACATATTCGAAAGTGGAGTTAATTTCTCTGTTGGCATAAATTTTGTTGTATCGCACACCGCGTGCATTATCTATCGTGTATCTATATCCATTATGATGATATATATTTATATCCAATGCGTCAATAATGATTAATTCTTTCCGTTTGCGAACACGAAGTAAACGGAGCACACGAAGAAACGTGCAATGCAAATAAAAAAAGGTATATTTTTTAAGTATTACAAAAAAAAAGAATCGATGAATACACGAACGTACCAGACACTATTAAAAAAATACACACACACACACACACACACACACATATGCGTACGCGTATATGTATGTATTCTCAGAATACTATTGTGTTAAATTAAAATTAATGAAATTGAATGAAGAATAAAGCGTGTTTTATCACACATTTATTTGGAAACCTCAAAGTTTGTTGGAAAAAATGAGTAAACTTTCCATCATTCATCACCTAAAAAGTGATACTTAATTTTATTACGATATTAGGCCTACCGGCGAAAAGATGTGGTAAAGACAATCCGAGACCCGAGACACCTCGGATGTTTCCCTAATGCGAGAGAGAAGGCGATAATGAATAAAAAGCCTTATCTCGAAGGAAGCTAATTGAAATGGAGAGATATGTATGCTTGTTTTATGACTCGAGACAGGAGCACGAGTGAGCGTTTAAGCGGTAAAGTAAAACGCACTAAACAAGGAGTTAATTACGGTGTTAGTAACGTGCATATCTCGAGCAAAGTGGGACAAGTACAAAGATAAGGCGCGCGCGCGCAAGTATAGTTTACATTAAATCACTTGTGCAACGTTACAATTGTTACGTAAACGTTTACGGACCGATTGCCAGTCCATTGTTCACGATCGCTCGCGTACGCAATTAAAAGTAGTCTCCGGGAGGATCTCGCAAATTCAACATTGCATCGTTATATTGTCCGATCCGGAACTTCGATCTGGAATTTCATTGCGATCCGTTGTTCAACGAGCAATTCCACATGGTTGAAAAAAATTGTTGACGCTTATTTAACGCATAAAATTCCGCGAACGGTAATCAAAGCTATTGATAATTAACCATGCTCGCGATAATTAACATGCTATATATCAACGTACTAATTTCTAGTTGGATGTTTGCAAACTTTATCCGCGGTTTCGAAAGGCGTGCTAAGAGAATGGCTCCTTTTGTTTACGTTAGATTCATAATCGTTACTATCGCTATTTACGCGATCATTAGGCGGCGAGTCATCAGGTGCCAAGGTGCCGCGTGCCACGTGCCGCGTGCCGCGCAGAGACATAAAGTAAAGAGATAAGAGTATCGATAGAGGACTGATTTACCTGAGGAATATTCGCGTTAAGCTGTCGATTCAGAGCGTCTCGTTCCTTCTCAACCTCCGCCAGCCGCGCCTCCATCTCCTGCAATCGTTCCTGATGCTCGCGCATCGACTCCATCATCTTATCACGCTCGTCCAGCATTTGCACCATCAACTGCTCGAAGTTTCCGTCTTCGCCGGAGAATTGCGAGCTCCGCTGGCTCATGCTGTCCTCCGCGATCGTTGGCATCACATCGCACATCATATTCCACATTTTGCGAGTTGTACAGCGTGGCCGTTATTCTCGTCAAGATTATGATAACTTCTTTTTCTCCTTATTCACGCACCCACATCGGATCTACGAGAGAATCACCGGTGAATCGCACATACATACATACACACAGGCGAGCACGCGCGCCCGCACCCGCGCCCGCCCGCGCGTGCACGTGATGTAAACGGCACACGATATCGCGTGACACACACACACACACACACACACACACAGAGGGATGACACGCCGCACGCGCGCTCAAATCTCACACACACACACACCCACACCCACACTCACGCACCGCACAGATAGATACGAAGCGAGGCGTGGCGGGGCGAGGCGAGGCGAAGCGAGGCGAGGAAAGGAAACGGAAACCGGCAGGAATTCGTGCGCGCGCTCCTCCGGACCCGATATCTCGTTATTCCCAATCCTGCTTATCTCGTACTCTCACACTTCTCTCTCGCGCTTTTCCTTTTCCCTCTTTCTCCCCCTCTTTTTTTTCTCTCTCTTTCTTTCACCCTCGCTCGTTCGTCGCACTCTAACCGCTCGCAATTCCTCACTTGGTCATTTTGCCCGTCCACTCTCCGCGTGCGCCCTTTCCTCGGGCGATACCGCTTCAATGACATCCACACGTCGCGATTCCAAAGTTCTTCGCCATCACAGTACATTTGCTTTGATTATGCAAGTGACGGAGACTCGCACGCCTCCTCTTTGACCGCGTGCATACGCACTTGCCTCGACTTGATCGCGTATACGACATTAGATTTCGCGACTTTCAGTCACGCAAAAGAGAGAGAGAGAGAGAGAGAGAGAAGCTCGCGCGCACAATCAGTCAAATCCAAAGGCCGTTTATCGTATCGGCCCCTTCCTTCCTTCCTTCCTTCCTTCCTTATTGGACATCCAGCCATTTGGAGGACTCGTGCAAGTTTTGCTCCTTCAAATATATCCTTTTTCTTCGTTCCTCTGGTTTAAACGACATAATATAGCACTCTATTTTTTCAGATTTCATGACACGATGATAACATCTTGTGATTGAATGTATACAAACTTGTATCTCTGTGCCAAATTCAGTAAGATTGGTCCGTTTCTTCATTCGAATTTCGCATTTAGCAGCATGATAAATAGATTGACAGCGCATCGACACATTGTCCACGAATCGCTCTCTTATCTTATTTTTCCAAAAGAATCAATCGTCTGGACCACCGAATAACTTCTTCGTTTTTATTTTTGGTATTCTTATCCTTGTTCTTATCCTCGTGAACGAATCTCAAGGCGTAAACTTGCTCTCTCTCTCTCGATCGATTATTTATTTTCGAAGAAACCTCTGTCGTTTCATAAAACACTCGGCTATGAATCTAATTGTTAGTGTAATTCAATCCTGTTTCGATTTCCACATTTCTTTCTCTAAAATATATCTCATTTGTCTCTTTTGAAGCCCGCAAAAGAGCATTCTTTAGCTTTCTCCTCTTCTCCCGATCTCTACATCTTGGAGCTTGGTCCTTTTCTTTAGTGTTCTTTTTTTGACACAGTATCTCTGTCACCCTCTACTTCAATCAATCCGTTCTTTACTACGTGTGGATGATAATCACAATAATAATACGTCCCGGGCAATTTCACGAAACACGACGAGAGAAAAGGGAAAGAGAGAGAAAAAGAGAGAGAGAGAGAGAGAGATAAAGAAAGAAAGGGAGATGTCTGCTATCTCGACATATCTCGCTCGCAATCAGTATCGCGATTTTTTGATGGGGCTTTCGAGTGGTTCGGTGGCCGGGACTCGGGACTCCCACACTCCCACACTCTCACGGAGCACGAAGCGTAGTTATCGCCCGAAAGAAAACCGGCGCCACCTCATTTTCGCTCTCTCAGATCTCTCGGCAAACGTCAATCCGTACTCCGATTTTCACTCCTAGCTCCTACCTCCTAGCTCTTGTTTCGATTTTTAATCGTCGAACTTCGGAAAGCCCGTCTCCCTTGCAAAAAAAAGTACACAGTAACAGAAATTCGCGAAAGAGGATCGAGAATCTTTTGGCTGTATAGAAAAAGGAAAGATGTTGTGTGACACGTTTGATTACCTATATGTTCCCAGTGGCAATAAGAGAGAGGAGAGCGAGAGAGAGAGAGAAAGAATAAAAAGGAGAGAATGTGTGAGAGAGAGAAAGAGACCGGACACCGAACACCGAACACCGGACGCGAAACGCGAAACGCAGCGCCTATTTGTACGTACGATTCGTACGAGGAGCACTGCTGACGAGCGGTGAGCGGCGAGCGGCGAGCGGCGCCGAAACTCCAAGCCAAATCTCAGCCCGCGGCGACGATGACGACGACGCGGCTGGGCATCATCCCGACGGCGTGTTATCTCGCGCGCGACGCCGAAACACCGACACACCTATTCCCCGGGATTCGTTTCTACCGCCCAGCCTCGTCTACGCTACACCGCTACGCCATTCCCGATACCGGCGGCCATCTTGCACCATGACGTCAGTCGCCGTACTCGCCGTCACCGAAGGCGCGCCCGACTCCGCCCGAACGGCGCCGCCGCCGCCGCCAACGCCGCAACCGATAGAGGGCGCGTCAAGATCGACGAGTTTGACGAGTTTAGAATCTCTAGAATCCTTATCTTTTAGGGACTCTACTCTAGACGAGAGTTAGGGGTCGTTCCCACTGAGCGCGTCTCGCGTCGCGTCATGCGTCGCGTTACAAGGTAACCAATCAGAACGTCTGTTTTATTGCATCATCTCGGACGCGACCTTCTTGCGCGACGCGTCGGTTTGGTTCGTTTGGTTGCTTGACATTCTCGCGTTTGCCATAATAACATAATTTCATACATACATACTATACTCACTCTATTTCAATCGTAGGTCTCCGATATTTAATACACTGATTTAGGTCATATACTGTTTTACAGAAAACAGATAATCAGATTTGTACTATATTTTAATTTAAAGGTTATGTTCACGTTTATTGCAACCAATAACCTGGCGAACTAGTACATTCTGCGCATGCGTTGATTTGCCGCGACGCGTTCAGTGTGAATAACAAAAAACGCCATGTCTTGAACTGCCATCGCGTCGCGTCGTGACGCGACGCTTGACGCGCTTAGTGAGAACGACCCCTTATCGAAAGTTATCGCACGTTGCAGACTAATCTCCATAGACATAGTATATCTAGACCGAGCGTTTGCCTTTATTTAAGGAGTGGGGGCCGATGCCCACGTAGAAAAGGACATACTCTGTTTCGTGCCCCTTGCGTTCTCTCTCGCTCGCACAGAGCATAGCGCTCTCTTTCGTCATGCTACGTGCGAGCGAGAGAGAACGCAAAGGGCACGAAACAGAGTATGTCCTTTTCTACGTGGGCATCGGCCCCCACTCCTCAACACTTGGTCTAGATATACTATGTCTATGCTAATCTCCCTTTCTTTTTACATGTTCTTCTCAGGCTAATATTAAAGTTTGTTCTTTTTGTAACTAAACTTTTTTTTCAATTTTTGTTTTTCTTTTCTTTCTTTTCAACTTTAAAATATATGTATATCTCTATTTTATTTTTAGTATTCGCTGTGCAACAAGTTTAGTTACAAAGAATAAACCAATTACATTCACGACAAGAACTTTATCGAACGTGCTGATTGGCTATCAAATAAAAAATTCCTAAAACCCTGATTGAAACTCTAGACATTTTCTATGACGCATGCGCACTATAAATTTGGTCAATCGAGATATCGAGAATAATAAAATATTACTATGCACTGTGCATTACTTATACTATAGCAAAACGTGAAAAATTCCATCAATATATCCGACAGCCGATAACTTACAATTTGAAATGCCAATGCGTATTACAGAATCCAGTTATATTTTATATTTTATTCTAGTATAATATCACTGTGTTTTAATAAAATATATTGTGTAATACTAGAATGTATTAACCGTTATTTATAGTTTTAACCACAAAGAAATAATAAAATCAAGATTATATTGTGCGATCGGCATTTAGTGACGAATTTTACATGTATTTTCTAAAATGTTGCACAATTGTTTATTTAAATAAAAATACATTTGTTAAATAATTAGAAATTATACAAACGCTTGTTACATTATTTTGAATATAGATATCCCTTTGCAAATTGCTCTTAAAGTAAAATATGTAAACACATTTTCTAAACATTACATTTCTGCATTACAGCATTTCATATTTTATTTTTCGTTATATGCGATATATTAAAATATAATAATCGCTAATCAGTTTTTCTTAATGCTCGCGATATTTCTTTTCTAGTACAGACAATATACATTGTATAATTGTAACAAATAATTATATAATTAAATATGATCTAATTATATTGCCACTTGTTATTTTCCAATATAATCTTGTTTCCTTGTGCAATGATAAAAAAGTTGATAAATTTTTTGACGGAAAAATGTCTACAAACTATTCTTTTTCTTATCACAGCTATATATTAAATATATTATATAAATAAAAAATATCCTGATATTTTGTGTTTCTTCAGCATTTAATACATTACAAAAATTAATGGTTTATGCGATACAAAATACATTGGAAACAATTACTTAATGTAAAGCTACAAATCTCGATGTTACAATACAGTTGTAAAAATCTATATTTCAATCACATGCACTTATAAAGACTATATAGATTTATTTTAGGAAAAGCGTACATATTTACAAATGCTTTGCATAAATATTACTGCACATGGAAATTCCAGAATATTTTGTTTCATTATATTGAAGGGGCAAAATATAGCATTTTTTTTTAAATTTTACTCCACTATAATATATATGACAGTGCTGAGCACAACTGAATATATAAATAAACATTAAGATTGAAAATTTGACATGTTTGACCTTGATCGATTTGATTCCAAAAGATATTTACGTTTCTGTAAAGGATTTTAATGTGTCCGCTTTTATTTCTTTATGCATTATGTCTTGCAGTCTGCAGAAATATCCAATGTACATATAACTGTATATCGAAATCACTATGTATATATCTATCAAAATAAAGTACTTTTGTATTATAACTGGCCTTTAATGTTTCTGTTTTCTTGTTGCAGCCTTATTAAATTATGATGCCAAAAGCAATAAATCTTCTAAATTTTTTCTTGCGAAATACTTTCTTTTTTTTTGGTCACTCATACTTGATGACAAAAAATTGGCGAAATATACCGTAAACTCCCCTTTTTTATTATTCTGCATTAATAAATGCATGTACAACTCATTTGCATGTGTATCATATTTAAAAAAAAAATAAACTGTACAGCAATTAATCAAGTTTTGCAGCTATTTATTAATACATAAATAAAAAAAAAAAATATGTTTTACTAATATATATTATTGGACACAAATAATGAGATACAAAAAAAAAGCTAAGTTTTAAAAAGTTGTGTATATATATATATATATATATATATATATATATATATTTCTATGTACTTTGCAAGAGGAAAATTTATATGATTTCTGACACCATAATTCAATATGACATGGATTCATATGGCGTGACTCAAATAACAACAATAAAGGCTCAATAAAAGGTCTTAAAAATATGATTAAAAATACAGAAATAATAATCCCTTGAAATATGATGTAGAAATTATACGGGCGCGCGCGTGCGATTATCTATAAATAAATAATTAATATATTTACCGCAATACATTTTGTTATTGTGCCGAGTGTACCATTATTTCGTATTGTGATATAATAAAATTATTCGCGATATATAACACTCTCGAAAGATTCTCTAAATTAAATTCAAAATGTCTTACGATGAATAGCCCGTATACCATCTTCATCAAATTCTCTTTTACTCACCCACATTTTCTTAAAAGTGTCTAAAGAAGCCAAAATGGATCCACCAATCCAAGTACTATACAATCGTTCTTGAGGCGCAGATATCTGTTGTATCAAAAATATACATAATCTATATAATATTATGAACGTACTAAATTGTCAACTTTTTTCATATTTATTTGAAATTTGTTTTATTTTCGCTCTTTATCTTATTTATTGTTTTCTTACCCTTATTTTAATGTCTTTTGGTGACATCCTACGAATCTCCGACAATAATCTATCACCAAAACCCTAAGATGTGAGAAAATTTTGTTATATTATTGCAAGAATGTCTTTTTGCAAAATAATAAAGATGAGACATATAATAAAAATGAGAATATAAAATGTTTCTGCTTACGCGAAATAATGTTGACCCTCCCGAAAGTACAATATTTTGGAATAAAACTTTCCTCAAATCCAAGTCAGACTTCTGAATGGAGTATGTTAATACTTCATGAAGACCTTCGCATTCTTCGCCTATCAGATCTGGTCTAAACAACACTTCAGGAGCTCTAAATCGTGCCGGACCAATCTATATTAAATATGATTTACAGATGAAAATAGTCGCATCTAAAGTAATATTCATATATCTTATTCTGTATAATTAAATATTTTTTTTGTCCGTTATTACCTCCAAATGACTGCCATCAGGTAATATATATTGAAATTTCTCCGTTTCTATTGTTTCTTCTTTTTGTGGATTGCTAGCAAGATAGCACGCTCGCTCTTTAATTATTCTGACAATTTCAAATTCCGCTGTAGTTTTAAAATTAATACCTTCCTTGCGTAAAAGTAATCTAAGATGCCTTGTAACATCACGTCCTGCTATATCAACTCGCATTATACTATGAGGCATAGCAAAACCTTCATAAATAGGTACAGCGTGTGTAACACCATCACCAGCATCTAAAACCACTCCTGTGGTTCTACCTGTGGCATATCTGTATCAATAAATAATAAAAAATATAATATGAACTCTTATATTTATTTGCTGAAAAATTTAAAATTAACACAAAAAAGTATCAACATTAGTAAATAATAAAGACTACGAAAAATTATCGTTATATATTAGAAAAAAAAAATTTTTTTTTTGATTATCAGAAATATGGTATAATTACAAGATTATATAAATTTCAATAGTAAAAAGATTACTTGTAAATTATTTTTCCTGCTTATTGTAAAAGATTACTTACAAGCTAAGTACGGCTTGCATAGAAACAAATAAAGCTGGAACATTAAACGTTTCAAAAAATATTTCAGCTGCCTTTTCACGATTTTTTCTTGGATTCAAAGGTGCTTCTGTAAGTAAAACAGGATGCTCCTCGCTGAATGTTGCTAACTGATCTTTACTATAAACATAAGACCAAATGCGTTCCATATCATTCCAATCTGTGACTATGCCATGTTCCATTGGATACCGAAGGGATAAAAGGCCACGATGTTCCTCTGCTATTGGACCCACAAACAGATCTCCCTCTAAAGCACCAGCCATAACACGTACATGTTTTGGCCTCCCAATACTAAAGAAAGAAATTACGTATTAAATTTTATTCTAACCGATAATGCCAATATTACACATAAATGTGTAAGTTAGTAAGAGAGTACAGTTTATTCTAAAATTCTTTTACAGATAGCAAATTATTCTAATAATGTTGAATATATCTTGTCTGAATTAATTTTTAATTTATTATTATTCAATAAAGCATATTATTTTGAACGCAAACAAAATGTATTATAGTTGTAGCCCTTAAGTTGCATTCACATAAAATGTTTAAACATCAATATCGTTTTTGCTATAAAAACATTTTCTTATAATAAAAACATACATTTTATATTATTAGAACAGTTTGCTATCTATCAATCAACCAAAAATAAGTGGCATTATTATAAATGTTAATTAATATATGTTCTCTTTGGTACTTACTAATTTGGAAATCTGCACTTTGGTATCTGATCGCCCGCAAACCCCGCCTTGATCACACCAGATCCCTGAACAGAACAAAAATAGGTGCGTATTTAACAGCAACATTTTCAATCCTAAACTATGGAAAGAGAAAGAGTTTGCATATATCCTGTTGATATCATCACCGATTGAACCGCCGATGATATCGATAATAATTTTCAACAATATTTTTGTTTGCAACCAAAATTTAATATAAATGCAAACAATAATACAAACAGAGAAAAACGTCGTATCTTTTTAAGCAAAAATTACGATATTCTTATCGATGTTGGTGAGCGATGTTACTCAATGAAGTTTGACACATCGCTTTTTCTCTCTCTCCCTCTCTTCCTCTTTCTCTCTCTCTCACTCTCTTTCGGTAGCATGGATATGTAAGAAATTGAACAGCAGGCACTTACGTTATCGATAACCACCGGCTGATTGACGATTACGTCGTACGGCTCCATAATACGAAACAGAAACGTCCACGCGATTTAATTTCCTTCGAAAAGTCAAATCGTAATCTTACGAGCATATACTTGTCCACTGATCGAGGCAAGGCGTCTGCAGACGTCTGAAGGGAGTCATCAGCGGTCCCGCGAAGTGAGAAACGCTTCGAGAAGTGCGTCGCGAGCAGGAGTACCAACTACAAAATAGAATTTGATAAGATTATACATTATTTATGTTAGATTAGGATTAGGATTAGTTGTTGCTCGGCATTAGATTGGATATTATTAAATACCGCGAAATTTTTCTATCCTGTACATATGTAATGAATTTTATACGTAAAATTTGTTCATTTTGCTTGCTTCTAAAAATTTTTCACCTTTGAAACGAGACGATCGTATGTTTGAAATGTATGTTTGAGCGTTGGAGGGAAAAAAACGTAGAATTTAAGTGTAGAAAATGCAAGCAAAATGATCCAAAGAGCACACACAGACCTATATTAGAAACTAGAATGAGTTTTAGATTGATGGCTATGATATATCATAAATGTAGTAAGAATAAATTGCTCATATCATCTCCATCACTGTAAATGAAAAGTATCCGCTAATAAGTGAAAAGAATAATTATTTAACCGGTATTACTATCCTTTTCTAATGGACATAGATTTGCCATAATGTATTTATATTTTACATCATGAGATTTGCCTCTTTTGATAAAAAGAAAGAGAAAGATAAAAAGAAAAACGTTATTTAACGTTCTGATTGGTCAATATTAATTTTCAATGTATAATGTGATATGGGCTTAATGCTAAAGCCCGTATCAGACTACGTATTGAAGATTGAAATTTGACTAATTAGGATAAAAGGAACTAAAATTTCCTTGTTCTGATTGGTCAAATTTCAATCTCAATACATAGTCTGATACGGGCTTAATGCTTCGTCTATGTATTTTTATGGCTACGGTCGAGAAGACGCTAGAGATGCTTCGAAGTATTGCATTAATCAATCAGAATAGAGAAATCTTTACCCTTTTTGTCCTGATTGTGGTCAAACAAACGCTTCGAAGTATTTCTAGCGTCTTCCCGACCGCAGCCTATGTCTATGATGTCGGAGAACATAGTCTATATCTATAGTCGATATACTGGTTGTGTTCCAAAATTCACTGCCAGTACTGGAATTCTATAGTTTACGTAACGTATAGATTTTCAGTACTGACAGTGAATTTTGGAACACGGCCACTGACTACTGATTTCTGTTAATTCCGTCAGTGCGGCTCGGATATATTCGTACATTTTCATTTCAAACAGTTTTAAGAAATGAAATAATTAGCAAGAGAATACATACACAATCATAAAAATAAATATTTATTATTATTTAATTATAAGTTTATATAAGTATTTATTATTAAATGCACTTTTCTATTATATTTGATTTTAATCCAGAGAGCCTCTATCATTATTATTGTTTAAATCATGTCAGACAATGAGTGAAATGCGGAAACGTACGGCTTTTATATCAAAATAAAGATAACATTTCGATAAACTTTATGGCGTGATGTTTAAAATCAAATTTCATTGGCAGATTGATATTAAAATGAAAAATAGTTTACGCAACACACACACACACATTTTATATATATATATATATATAATAAAGTGTTGTCAATAAATTAATCTAATAATTTTAAGCAAACACTTTACAGCATCTTTTGGGTCTACTTTTGGTAAAAAAGGTTTCTAATGATAAAGTTTAATAAAATGTATATGTGTATATATATATAATATGCACATATACTTGCGTACACGCGTTCGAAAATATTTAATATATTTCTGCCATAAGGAATACAACCAAGGAAGTCCAACCAGTGAAAGGATGACTTCCTCTGCCTTCTCCATCGACGCTATTATAATGTTCCCACAAGTATCCGGTTTTCTTATATTGCTTAATAATATTTTGTATCAAATTCTTTCTCAACCCTTCATATATTTTTCTCGCATTTTCTCGATATGGGCCCTTTACGTTAGAATAATGATACGCGGCCCGTACCGTCAAATAATTGAGATTTATCCAGATAGAACCGCGCCAGTAAGGCGGATCATGTTCCGTATTGTACTTCATATACAGCGGCGATATTTTCGCGAGTGAGCGCAATCCATATTTGGTCCACAACAAATCGGGATCCCGTAGATCTTGCAGTATCTTCCCCAATTGTGGCGAGTCAGGCTCGACGATCTGCAGAATGAAAGGAAACAGCGACACATATCCAAAGGTTGTATCGACGTATTTTAAAGAGGGATCCTCCAATACGACGCGTATCATTTCCAAAGACTGCGTATGAGATCTCTGTTTGTGAGATGATGATGCGGATTTTCGTAAGATTACTTTATCGGTATGTAAACCGAAATCGGAATATGTTTGTGTATTCGATGACCAATGCAGTTTGTTCAACAAGTTGTTATCGGATAGATACTGGAATGTTTCTTCATATTTTTTTGCCGGGTAATTCAACGTTTCAGCGATTCTAGCCATAACCCGAGCGGCGAACGCGATCCAGCAACGCAAGTCGACGTGACGCTCGGCGATATTCGGATGGGAAGCTCTGGGGTAATCGTCCAAACCGGATGTGAGCGTTTTGGGATTCAATTCTCTATTAGTCGTCTCATCTCTGCCTCGCCATCTGTATGTGCCAGGTAGATCGCCGACTTGCGTGACATTGAACCAGGAGAACCACGCCTGCAAACGTGGATATAATTTATCGAGCAGCTGAAAATTATGTTTCAATAATTCCTGCTCTTTATGCTGCAGTATAAAATCCAGCGTTAGGAAGAATGTGGGCGGATTGGCGTTTGTATTCATTTGAGTAACGAATTCTTCGGGCACTTTAGCCAGAGCCTCCTGGCCCAAAATCATCTCTCTTGGGATCCATCCTTCGACATTCATCAGATCGAACCAATGACTTATAATGTCCAACTCTATCTCTGTGTCCCAGATTGAGATGAGTAAACCGTGAAAACCTTCGTCCCATAGAAAGCCACGAGGAAAGAAACTTCTGCTAGGTACAGCGGTGTACAAAGGTGCTTTCCAATAAGGCACGGGTTCCTGGGTATATGTACTTTGCACTTGTGAAGTTCCATAGAAATAACCTATCGAACCTAGAAGATTTGAGAATGCCATTTTTGCGAATGTTATTTCGTCGTCTGTGTATCCCTTGGATTCTAATTTAAAAACATTCTCAAATTTTTTCGAAAATAGTTGTCTCTGTTTCTCGAGAGCCTCGTCGTAGTTCTTGCCTGTTAATTTGTCTATTCTATTACTAAAGCTGCCAGATTCGTAACTAATTTCGATTTCAAAAGGAGCTCTTCCTGTTACTTGAGTAACTATGAAATTTGGATCCTCTTTCTTGCCATCGGATGATAAGAGCAGTTGTTCGCCAGCTAAAACTACATGTTTCTCCATAGATCCTTTTTCAGTCGCAATACGAAGATTTTGCAAAACCGTTTCTTTTAATACATTTAGACCAGACGCGACTGTTACTAGAAAGGAATGTTCTTCTACAGTACCATTTAGTAAATTTAGGTTTATAATGAAGGATCCTAATCCGTGTGTGTTTCCCTCTATTCCCGTCAAGCGATTGTAATCTCCTAGATTAGCCTTTATCCAACCTTTTGTGCTTTCCTCAATAGCGGTATAAAATAACAGCGATACTTCTTCCCTTTTATCGTGTTCCTTCTCTGGCAATACTGCGATTCTTGCAGTCCAGTCACCACCATGATATCCGCCTGGCCTCTTGACGAATGTTGTTCTTATAATTACAGAACTATCTATTATTTCTTGAACACCAAACGTTCGTCCATCATGCTCCAGCCATGCATATCTAACATTTAAACTTTGATTAGCCACATTAGCAAAATCTTTATCTGATTGAAGTTAAGAAGATTCTGCTTACAGTACCTGTCTAATTTATCACCTTGGTCGCACCAATGTCTAAATCCATTTCCGTCGTACCGTAGAAAACGTGGAAAATACCACATCAAACCGGTCACCAAAGAATGCGGATCTCTTGTTTTTAAACCGAAATATACACTGGATCTATAAGTCCCCCAATATCTATCCGGAACATCCAAACCAGATGCGGTAACTAGCTAGTTTTCAAACAATATTCAAATTAATGATATAAGTCTACAAACGTTTGTATATATATATATATATATATATATATATATATATATATATATATGTATGTGTGTGTGTGTGTGTGTGTGTATAACGTAATTAATTTTACACTATGCATAATCATGATTGTATTATTTGCAATAATTTACATGCCTTTTCTACATTATATGGGGTATTTACTCTTGTTTCAAGATATCCTTTGAATCCAAACCAAGCTGCAATAGCAATACATATAGCAGCAATTATAGAATTCATTGATAATGGTAAGCTTTTACTTGTCTTAGCAGAGCTTGCATTCACAAGTCTAGCTTTTATCTTTGTGTGTTTTTCTTGCATTTTGCTTCTTGCCATTTTAATTATACTGGAATCAAAAGATGATTAATGTACTAGGGAACAAATCTGTATCTCACTATATATCTAGATGCATGGATATTCAAGGTTTATATGTAACTATGTACATTATTTTTATATTTAAAATTATTTTCATTGAACATTACATAACCAATCAAAAAAATGTATTTTGTATCTTTTACTTACATGTTTTTACATATACAAAGAATTCTCGTTGATTATGCCATGATTTATTAGATATCTATTGTATAAATCTCTATTAATCACGTTTAATTCCTAGTCATTGTCCTAGTATAATCACATGATAATGTTAATTTTCATACATATACATGTTAAGATGTGTGTATAATAGTAAATAAAAGAAATTTAAATAAAGATACACATACATATATATCCTCAAAATTTATATCAAACCTCTAAAGCTAACGTATTAGATCACAAAGTTATCTAAATAAAAGATGATATACAAAAAGCTTGTTTATCACGAGTAATTTGCAGATTACAAAGAACATAAAGAAACCTTCCGTAGCAAAATAAAAAATACGGGACATGATTCCCTCTACAACGTTCAAAATTATTTAAATTTTAAATCACCGTACTCTTTCTCAGACATATGGCACGTATGTCAACTTAGGTTATCCCACATCGATCGCTTCTCACGTTGTTTCTAAATTTTACGATAATTTGCAAAACGATAAATATACTTATTCAATAATGTATATCACAGCCGCGCGAATGTCACTATAAAGTACAAATAAAGTGCATAGTACTAGGATTCTTTACAATTTTTTCACGTTTCTATCACCGTTATGCTATCAATGTATGTATGTATGTATGTCAATACATATCGCGCATCGCGCCTAAAGTCTCAAATCACACACACATATATATATATATATATATATATCATATATGCATTGATATATACAAGGATCATTAATAAGGATATGTAAAATATATATTTATACTTTTTAAATTCAAATAGATAAAAAATGGCGTTAATCAGATAGAAAACATTAGTAAAAACATTTAAAATGTGAAAAAATTATACACAATAAATGAAATTCTCAAAGTTCATATAATAAAATCTAAACACTTAATTATAATAAATAAAGATGAGCTTTTTAAATCAACACAAAATATGTTACTTAACAGTTTTTATATATTTATTTATCCAATAGAATTGTATATATTATACAAATAAAGCGTTAACTATATTACACAGTATATATATATAATCACATATTTAGGGAAGAGTTCGTACGTTATGCTGTTTATATATTCTATTGTTTGATTAATATTCAGCGCGTACCGTCTCTTATTTTTAAATTGTCAAATGAAAAAAAGGCCAGACAGAATGTAATTTCTAAAAGCATAAAAATTTGAGAGAAAATTCCTTTCATTCATTTTGTTCATTTTTCCAGCTAGCTAATTCTGTACATCTTTTTTTCTTTTTTTTCGCTTACTTTCTACATAACTTGAATGCCAAACATTATCTTATAAATAATAAACTATCTGTGATCAAAAAGATATTGTTATTGTATATAATAGCGTATGCAATTATATATAGGCAGATAGACAATATATACCAATGCCTATATATGGTGTACTTAGCTTAATTATGTGCCTGTGAAACTTTTACATATCCTAAATGAGTCATGAAAAATTTTGTTGTTAAAACAACCGCGTATATACAATGTCAGCAAAAAGTGTACTTTTTTTTTGGATGTATATTAAAAACCTAAATGTTTCTTTCTCAAAACACAGTTGTATATGAATAATTATCTTTTCTTTGCATTAGAGTCTTATATTATTTAGGACTCTAGTTTGCATATGATGCGGGCGTGTGTGTGTGTATATATATATTTATTTATCCAATTTATCCAATTATTTATCCAATAAGCCTTAGTTACGCTGCACACACGCAATACATATCAATGTGCTAAATTAATAATATATATCATAAGAATCAGTGTTGGCATATTGTATTTTTATATTACTCCTTACATTAAATACATTATTCTTACGAGAACATGTAGATGTGCTTTAAATCAACACATTCGCTGTCCATTTGTTAGAATATTATTTATCGTTATAAAAGACAATAATTGTAGTGAAAAATGTCCAAGTGTTAGACGCGAAATTTAAAAAGGAAAATTAGACTCACACACAAATGTCGTTGTTGGATGAAAAACTTTACAATGCGTATGAAAATAAGCTGTTCATTGTACAAAACTAAACTGTGGAGAAATGGAAGTGAATCAAATATGATAGATTTCTTTATTTACATAGGAATATTACGAGTACGAATTATATAAGATCATATGTTTGTTCTAGAGAATATTTACTATCATTACATATATGCATATGCATATATACATGTATACATATATACATGCATATAGAGTGATCTTATTGTTCTTCAAGAAAATCTAATATCTTGTGATATGTGAAATAAGAAACAAGTTTTTAATAGATATATAAAATATGTAAAATTTCTTTAATGTGCAATATAAATTAATTAACATAAATCATATAAATTAATTAATAATTTCTATAATAGATCGTTTGAATACATCAAGATGTGATGCTTGATATAAAGATTGCTTTATATTCATGTATATA